TGTGTCCATTACACCATCACGTGACCTCTAGCTACTTCCAATTAAAACCAGCCCATTTACATTTAACATTCCCCTTTGACCGTAACTATCAATAAATAGATATAATTGTGACTTACTTTAGATCCTGAACTATTTTGGCTTGTTCGTTCATCTCTTTCTCAATGAGCCTGAAGCGGAGTTTAGGATCGAGTGACGTGTCATACACAAACTCTGGTAGAGTGTCCATCAGAGTACTAGGTCTACGCGTAACCTCAATTTCTGGATCATTTGACGGTGAAAAAATGGAATCCATTCCTCCATCTGGGAAACCTTCCTCAGACAATTCCTCATCTGGATCACCAGCCAGGGCAGTCAGAGTGTTCCCAAGGGCTGATAATCTTTTGCCAATGTTTGTGTCCAAGTGGACATCAATACCCTGCATCTCCCATCGCACATTTAGGATCCACTTGGCATTACTGTTTGGTTCTGTTGATCAAAGTTAAGAAAGACAATTCAATTACGTGAAACACTAAAAAACAAAAATCCTAGAGGATTTCTTGATTCATCCTCATAATGTCAATTCAAAATAGGTCATTTTTTGACTTTTTTGTGATTGTTACCAGGGACATGATATGGGTTAAGATTTCTTAAAAGCAATATCACACAACTGGAGAAAACACAGTAAAATCCTGTTACACTGCAATACGTCAAAGAGTTCAACACTGACTCAATGTGTGGTGTGGGTTTATTACTAGGCGTAAGCTTACGACAGATAAATAGAGTAAAAACATTCAATGTGTGGTGTGGGTTTATTCCTAGGCGTACGCTTACGACAGATAAATAGAGTAAAAACATTCAATGTGTGGTGTGCGTTTATTACTAGGCGTAAGCTTACGACAGATAAATAGAGTAAAAACATTCAATGAGTGGTGTGGGTTTATTACTAGGCGTAACCTTATGACAGATAAATATAGTAAAAACATTCAATGTGTGGTGTGGGTTTATTACTAGGCGTAACGTTACGACAGATAAATATAGTAAAAACAACCTTCCAACATGTATATCAACTATTGTGTCACTAATCTGTAATCTGTAACTACATATCAATAATACTGACCTGACATGAGTTTGTTGATGGTACGAGAACAGACCTCGTAAGTACCCTCAGGAACCACACAAGCATTCATTACAGAATCATCAGGATTGTTTGGCTTCCAGTCGTCCCATGATGTCTCAAAGTCAGTCGCAAACCGCAGACAAAAATCTGACAGACCAAGATAAAATGACTGAGATTAATAAACTACCTCAACAAAATTGTAAAATTTCTGTATAATACCATGGTTAAATGCCACACATATTGAAAAATGGATTAAAATTTCTTTATAATGCCATAATTTAATTGTCTGACAGAATTTTCGAATTATCTTTTGGGTTTAGCAATGTGTTCAGGGAATGAGTTAAAAAGAACAAAGAAAAAAAAATGGGATATCCTGGAATTACCTCCTCTTAACAGATTTTTTTCCATTGAGAGATTGTTGGAATTGATTTAAGAAGTCAAAATGCTACCACTACAAAAAAAAATACACTTAAGATTAGAAATTCTGCCTCTTTTCTACTTTAATGTTATACAGATTACAGAACTTCTGCTATAATCCTACTGAGACAACAATAAGATGGAAGCTTATATAGAAACACTATAAATATGGTGATCAATGAGACATCATTCATGCTCTCTGTGACACGTTGATGAGATCCTGGGTTTCAAAAAATAGTAATACATATTTACTATAAAATCATCAACTTCATGCAGGTTTCGCTTTCGTCGACTTCATGGGTACACTTAATCCGCAAATTCATATAATCATGAACTGTCATAATTACTATTATATTATAGAGACAATCAAATGTCCAAATTGATTTTAAAAAAGATGAATTCCACAAAAATAAATGACTTTGCAGTATTTCTTAACCAAACTTTGCTTAACCACACTGAGAGCCTGTTTAAGAACAAATTTATCAGCAAAAAACACACAAAGTGACATTAAATGCCATACATATTGAAAGCTGGAGATAAAAGATTGCAGGGATATTTGAATGTCACTAGTAAGTGAAGGTCTTCCACTATTGTCAACATAAGAATGGCTGTTATACTTACCCTGAAACTTCCCCTTGCTGACAAGGGAGCCCGAGGAGCAAGCTGATATCTGGGTACTTTTGATGGTGAGGACTAGTGCAGCACCTGGTTCACAGTCAAGGAACCGACTTGGGTGTGGATTGGGCTGCAAAAATACATGTGAAAATAGAGTGGGTGCAGGTGTTACAGGACACTTGAGAGAACTTCAGATCATGTTTTAGGTTAAAAAACACCTGACATACAATGTGTAAGAGATCACTTACCTGATGTGCTGTAGGTGCAACAGGTACACAAATACCGATATCAGTCACAGTCAGTTGTAAGAATAGTGTGCTAAAAGCAGTGGGACTGGCTGAGGAAAACTGTGGAAGTCTGTCCATCACCTGTCGTGTGGCTTTTTGTACCTAAATGTCAAAGTTCAATGACAAAATTTAAATACTTAATTCATACCAGACAATATGACTATAGTGCCTGATAGGGTTTGTTTGAACTATGTGTTAAGAGTTATTCATAACTATGGTTCAACTTTCCTGAAATCATATTGGTTGGTTGGTTGGTTGGTTTTCTGTCTCCCTATCATTAGATGTTGTTTCACTGACAACACCAAAGCTCTGGCAACAAGTTAATATCAGAAAACCAACGTATAATTTTAGAGTGGCCTGTGATAGATTAGTTAATAGTGCATTAGGCTAATACACCTGGTGGTGAAGATATGAGGTGAGTGGTTCAATCGCTACCTGAGACTCTCTGTATTTCTTGTTTATCCCAATAGTTCTTTTACCCCACCTCAATTGACCCTGGCTTTTCTTAGTTTGATAAACAAGGCAGAAAACCAAAACCAATTCACATGTCTTGAAGCCTGTAAGTTGTACAGGTATGACCACCAAATGATGACCAATGACTTGTAGATACTATAAATAAGCATTGTCAGCTCACCTCAGTGTTAAGTGCCATCCTCTGTTCTGTCCAATACTCATAGGCATTCTTGTAGTTGAGCCAAACCAGTACAGCTGACATCAGAACCATAAAATAGACAATGTGTGAATATATTTGAACAATAATGAGTTTTAAGTTGAATATATACAAAACATTTACAAAAATTAGAAACTTTAGGGAAAATGGGACAAATTATCAAAACATTTACTCAATATTTATGGACATAAGTGAAATGAATTAAAAAATAAGGTGCTAAGGTGACTATATTCATCACCTACCTTTGTCAAAGGCAAGAGGATGTGCCAGAACAATTGGTCGAGTGACAGTGATAAGCAGTGCCTCCTGGTCAGTGGAAACCCCAGTAATCATCTCATCCTTAGAATCAAAAGCAAGAATGATTATAGTTATGCGTGACCTAAATCAGCCTGTGTTGTATGAATACAACTTGATCAGACATTGAGATAGCTATCATAAATATGGTAAATCATGTATTTTACACAAGCAGTGTTATACCCTTGAACTATACAAAGAATATTGACAAATTGGAGGCAATATTGAAAATCAAATATTGAAGTATAATGCTTACCTGTAGAGCGTTGCGTATTCCAATCTTTGTCTTGAAGAAAGCCATTGTCTGAAACTCTGCTTCAGCTTCCTCAAACAGAGGATTCTGGCAAAAAAATTTGGATGGAAAACTTGATAATAGTGAATTCTATCAAACATATTTAGAACTAGAAATCATTAAACCAAATCCAGCTTACATTGCATATCCATAGTCACAGTTCATATATCATTACAGTATACAATATTTCACTGACATATCTTTTATATTCTAGCTAATGACATTTTTACATCGATGCAAGTTATGATATATATCTGCACAATTTGAATATGTATGTCAGAATCAAATGCACCCTGTATCGCAGTCAAAAACAAGGTCTTCTTATCTTCCTTAGATACAATACCCTAAAATCACAAATTGTTCCTGCTTGTTATCTTCTTTTGTCACACATCATATTCCAAAATTACAAATAGTGTCTGCTTGTTATCTTCCTTTACTTTCAAAGTCACATGTTTTGCCTGCTTGTTATCTCCCTTATTCAAAATTTATATACAGGTACAAATTCTGCTTACTTCTTAAATCCCTTTTGTCAAAATTCATATCCAAAAATCACCAATCATGCCTGTTTGTTATCTCCCTTGGTCACACTTTATATAAAGTCACAAAATGTGCCTGCTTGTTATCTCCCTGGGCAACACTATCCAAAAGTCACGAACTGTGACTCCTTTTTACCTCCCTTGGTCACATTTAATATCCCAAAGTCACAAATAATGTTTGCTAGTTCCCTTGGCCACACTCTACATAAAGACACAAATTGTGACTTCTTGTTATCTCCCTTGGTCACATTTTATATCCCAAAGGCATACTCTACATAAAGACACAAATTGTGATGTGATGCGATGTCACACTATGGGACACAATGAGACAGTAAGGAATGGACAGACATGGAAATGGCATTCTCTACTTACTTTTAACAGCTGTCCTAAGGCTAAATTCAGATCTATCTGAGCACGAAGGAAGACTTTCTGAATATCTGGGTGACCTACAAATTGCAACATAATTTCAGATAATCACAGTAATATCAATAAATCGTTAGGGCACAGTGAGGGAAATATATTGTACAGATATACAGTATTGTTTCATCATTTTATCTAATTTGCTTCAAAAACAATCAATAACTAACAGTGAATTAATCTGATATCTAAAAGTGACAAGGCTGTACTCTTTAGCGTTGACAATTAAGGTTCTTGTACCTGATTGGTCCATTTTTGTGTCACATGACACCCTCTGAACTCGATTTGAGATTTCCAAATCGACAGCACCTGTTTCCAGCTGTACTGCACTTGAGGTTGGTGTGGTGGCTGTAATCTGGATACCCTGGAAAAGTAAACTATCCTACTAAGAAACAGAGGAACATTTTTTTTTTTTTTTTTTTGTAATTTTGTTTTATTAGACTTAACAAAAGTGATTACAAGTACACTGATTTAAAATTGATACACATGCACACATTCACACATGTGTAATAGTTAAATAAGCAATGTTATTACGATTTCACCATAATCACCATTATCCTTACATCATTTTCATTATAAGATATCACTGCAAAAAAAAAAAAAAGGGAACACATCAGAAGAGGTTGACCACTTTACCTTGAACCTGAAGAGTAGAGAGTACAGGAGTGATTGTTCAGGTTCTTTAGGTGTAGTTTCCTCCCCTACCCACAGGGGCGCTGGCTGGTCTGATCCCGACACCTTCTGGACCAATTCATTCACCTCCTGCAAATACATTGAAACAACATTTCATCATATATTTATCATTATGCCCAGACAGTGACCCCAGTCTTCCCTGTTCCTTGAATCTTTCCCTGTACACTGATGTCCTCTCCTCAATACTATACCCCTAAAATGTGAAACCAGTTCATATTTAACTTACCGTATACTTTATCTCTAAAATGTGAAACCAGTTCATATTTAATTTATACAAAACCTCTAAAATGTGAAACAATTTAATATTTAACTTATACTATATCTCTAAAATGTGAAACCAGTTCATACTTAATTGATACAAAACCTCTGAAATGTGAAACCAGTTCATATTCAACTTATACTAAACCTTTGAAATGTGAAACCAGTTCATATTTAACTTATTACAATTATTGAATAGCTGCATCGGGGAAAAAATACATTTTGCTCTTGTTGTATTTGACAAATATTTGTTTGATATAAAACGTGCTTGGTAGTTTAAATACCACATTGTGATTATCACCCAACAAGTGCCACTGCTAAAATACCTATTATCATGTGGCTTAACAAACAGGACATACCGTATTACATTCGCATCTAAGTCAATAAAATAGCACCAATCATCCAAGCTTGATAATTTGTTTTACCAGAAGATAAAGTGATAATAAGGTCAGATTAGAGCTGTACATGTCATCATCAGGACACTTATCCCCTACCACTCCCTTGCAATGTAAAGTGTTTAAACATCAATTGTGTTTGGGTTTCAGTCTCAACCTCAACATTTTGTGTATAACCTTGAATTACCCTAAGACAAGTACAATACCCTTGTCATGCCCCATCTCCTTACCATTTACATATATTGTAAAAGCTATGGGTCATTACCCAAATACATGTGTACAGTGAATGGGTTGCCAAGGCAACCACAATTTTTGCAAAAAAAAAAAATTGCTTGCATATCTATTTATGACCAATGATATTTCTGTATAGTTTCACTGAAAATTGTTTCCAAAGTTAAAGTCTGTATGTCGTCATTCTAATCATAGGTCTTAATTGGTTATCATGGCAACCAAATGGCATCTGGTATTTTGGAAAAAAGTATCAGAGATTGTAAATAGATGTTATTTAGTGTAATTTTATTGACATATTTGGCTAGTTCATATTGTGAAATTGCTGTGCAAAGGGAATTCTAATTCTGATAAGAAAGTGATAACAAGAAATCCCAGAGAGATCCTGGCATCCTCCATTGTTTGATCTTTATTTGTTCTTAAAAAGTTTGATTTTTCTCTCCTCTCCTTTTGCTATTGATTATACAAATTTGAACATTCCACTAGTGATGATAATCCTTAACCAACAAATCCCAGATGGTCACTTGTCAGGGATTTTGTCTTTCTGATCATTCCCAAAATAAAACAGCCACAACTAAGGACTAAAGGAAAGCTTCATATGAAATTTAAGAAAATTCCATAGAGTACTTCTCAAGAAATAGCAATAACAAAGATTCATTGTTGAAATCCAAGATGGCCACCTATCAGCCATTTAATTTTTTACTGATCAGTCCCAAACTGTAACGGACTCAACTAGGGACCAAGGGGAACCAACATATGAAATATGAGAAAATTCTATCTTGTTCTTCTCAAAAAATTTGAGAAAGACCCATACAGTACTTCTCAAGAAACAGCGATCAATTTTTTTAGTGAAAATCCAAGATGGCAACCTGTCAGGTGGTTTTTTCTGATCAGTACCAAAAACAGACAGGCATTACAAGGCACCAAGGGGAACAATATATATATTAAATTTGAGAAATAATCCGTCCAGCTCTTTTCAAGAAATGGTGATTACAATCTTTCACTGTAAAAATCCAAGATGGCTACATGTCTGCCATTCCTTTTCTAATCTGTCTCAAAATTAAACAGCTTAACTAGGAACCATGGGGAACTTACATATGAAATTTGAGAGGGATTAATCCTGTACTTCTCAAGAAATAGCAATAACAAAATTTGTTAACAGAAGGACCACAGCAATTTGAAAAGCCTACCATTTGATGATGATTGGATAAAAAAAAATGAGATGTACCTTCCCAGAAAACAACTGTGTATTGTACTTGAGTGCACAAAATAGGCATCTATTGAAGGAATATCCTACAGGTTTGACAAATTCACCAGGCAATAATACATAAAAATATAGTAATTGTATTGTTATTTAAAAAAATAAACTAATTTTGGATGCTTTTGAAATAGCGATTTGAAAAATCGCGGCATTATTTATGCGGAAAATTGCTGCTAGAGGGTTCTAACTCTTTTCGATATTTCAGCCAATGAGAAGGCCAGGATCGGTAAATTTTGTCTGAAAGGCTGTCGCAATAGGCTATGCGTACTGAGTACGTTTAGCCTAATGAGGTTCTAATTTCTAGTCATCAGTACCCATTACTTGTGATTATGTGATAAACACAGAGATTTATGTATAGGTCAATGCATACCCTGATTCATTCGCACAATATACAGTAGACAAGACTCATTGCATCACAGCATCAGCCTCTGTCAACACTACATAAAATTCTACTGGATACTGTGTATGCTGTTTGAGACATTGCTTCAAAACACAGCACATCAATCAAAGTTTGGAGAGGCTTAAAGACCAGAAGTCACATGAGGATCTTGTAGTTCTAAGAAGACCATTAACTGTGTAATACCACAGGAAGCTGACTGTGTTTCACCAGAAACAGCAAACAGACCAAACTTCTTTTGTACTCTCAAAGAAGGTAAACTGATAGAAGAAAGTTTATCGTTAGGACAATCATAAAAGGAAAGCTGCAACATGCCTCAAGATTCATTCATGAAATTATAAATTCAGAGTGCAGAATTTACGGATAAAATTCTTTATCACAATTGAAGTCAGTCACAAATGAAAATCGACTATTGTGATACAGGAAGTATCCTTCAATACAATGATCAACATACTACTGGCATCCATCTTGTTCACATTGGTGTTGGTTTGTAACTTCACATCCATTTCCATCTTCTTGCGGTGCCGGCTGATGATATCACAGATGCGTGTGATCCTCCTAGCTCTTTCGCAGCAGGCTGTTGTGTACAGCATCCTTGCTCTACTTGCTTGTATCATAATGCTGGTAAACGAAAATCAGAACCACTTCCCCTGCCTCCTGTTCCGAACAGTGCTCTCTGCAGGGGTCATGACCCCATTGGTTCTTTCCACCTACATGTCTTTAGACAAGTACATGTCTTTGAAGTGGCCATTTTGGCATGCTCGAGTTATTACGACAAAACTGACTGTACTCATCAGTGCTACTCTTGTCTTCAGTACATTCACTCTCAGATGTATACTTTTCACTCACACATATCTGACATCAAATATCTTAGTTAACAATGAATGCTACACATCCAAGCATGTAAGCACAGATCTGGCAGTAGAGGCCATTGTACTGACTTTTTGTTTCATCCTGGCAGGCACGTCTTGGATAGGAATAATCTGCCACATCAAGAAATATACAACTAAGGTTTTACCCAGGAAAAATTCTCGGGAAAATATCTCCCAGTGTGTGGAAACGTTTCAGATGTTGATCCTCATTTTTAGTGTCAATTTCATGCAATACTTAACAGTGATACCAATATACATTCTTGCCATCTCACAACTCATTAATACAACAAATCATCAACTTGAAATTATTGATAGAAATATGAGGATTGGATTTTTTCTCACTGTTCTGATAAATCCAATAATTTACACATTAAAATTTCGAGAATGTCATTATCATGTCTTGAAATTGTTCTGCTTCTGTAGCAAAAGACTTCAAGACAAAGCTGAGCGCTTAGAGAGTGTTTTTCGCCTGGAACATGCAAGGATACCAACACCAGCAGTATCCCATTCTCATAACCCTCTTTCCAACTCGGACAAATGTTGGCAAATACCCAAAACTCCAACGAAGAATTTGTTCAGTCTACAAATCCCTGATAAAGAACAGTCCAATGGAGCTCTACAAATCCCTGATCTGGACCAACAAAAATGGAAACAGAAAAGATACAATGAAGCCATTAAACTGTTTGTGAAAACCAAACGGAACATTCCCTAAACAATGCCTATAATATACACAACATCCTAGCAGTCAACAGATTACCAACTGACACAAATTAGTGTTTTTTGTGTGTGGCATAAGTAGAATATCATGAGATTTTCTTATTTTTTCTCATGAAAAATACTTATTTTGGGAATTTTGTTTCATCAAAATTGTTAAGTGCCTAAATTCAAAGTTTTCATTTTTCTTTTCTTGAATGAATGTGACATCTTTAGGAATGTACGACTTTAACAGAGATATTGTACCCTGACGTATTATTGTTGAAGTTGATATGTGTTATACAGACCTCACAAAGTACAACTTTAACAGAGATATTGACCCTGACGTGTTATTGTTGAGGTTAATATGTGTTATACAGACCTCACAAAGTACAACTTTAACAGAGATATTGACCCTGACGTGTTATTGTTGAAGTTGATATGTGTTATACAGACCTCACAAAGTACAACTTTAACAGAGATATTGACCCTGACGTGTTATTGTTGAAGTTGATATGTGTTATACAGACCTCACAAAGTACAACTTTAACAGAGATATTGACCCTGACGTATTATTGTTGAAGTTGATATGTGTTATACAGACCTCACAAAGTACAACTTTAACAGAGATATTGACCCTGACGTATTATTGTTGAAGTTGATATGTGTTATACAGACCTCACAAAGTACAACTTTAACAGAGATATTGACCCTGACGTGTTATTGTTGAGGTTAATATGTGTTATACAGACCTCACAAAGTACAACTTTAACAGAGATATGTGGTTACAGACCTGACAAAGTACAACTTTATATGTTGACATGTTATTGTTGATTATATGTGTTATACAGACCTCACAAAGTACAACTTTAACAGAGATATTGACCCTGACGTGTTATTGTTGAGGTTAATATGTGGTTATACAGACCTCACAAAGTACAACTTTAACAGAGATATTGACCCTGACATGTTATTGTTGAGGTTGATATGTGGTTATACAGACCTCACAAAGTACAACTTTAACAGAGATATTGTACCCTGACATGTTATTGTTGAGGTTGATATGTGGTTATACAGACCTCACAAAGTACAACTTTAACAGAGATATTGACCCTGACATGTTATTGTTGAAGTTGATATGTGGTTATACAGACCTCACAAAGTACAACTTTAACAGAGATATTGACCCTGACATGTTATTGTTGAGGTTGATATGTGGTTATACAGACCTCACAAAGTACAACTTTAACAGAGATATTGACCCTGACGTGTTATTGTTGAGGTGAATATGTGGTTATACAGACCTCACAAAGTACAACTTTAACAGAGATATTGTACCCTGACGTGTTATTGTTGAGGTGAATATGTGGTTATACAGACCTCACAAAGTACAACTTTAACAGAGATATTGACCCTGACATGTTATTGTTGAAGTTGATATGTGGTTATACAGACCTCACAAAGTACAACTTTAACAGAGATATTGACCCTGACGTGTTATTGTTGAGGTTAATATGTGGTTATACAGACCTCACAAAGTACAACTTTAACAGAGATATTGACCCTGACGTGTTACTGTTGAAGTTGATATGTGGTTATACAGACCTCACAAAGTACAACTTTAACAGAGATATTGTACCCTGACGTGTTATTGTTGAGGTGAATATGTGGTTATACAGACCTCACAAAGTACAACTTTAACAGAGATATTGACCCTGACATGTTATTGTTGAGGTTAATATGTGGTTATACAGACCTCACAAAGTACAACTTTAACAGAGATATTGTACCTGGACATATTATTGTTGAAGTTGATATGTGGTTATACAGACCTCACAAAGTACAACTTTAACAGAGATATTGTACCCTGACATGTTATTGTTGAAGTTGATATGTGGTTATACAGACCTCACAAAGTACAACTTTAACAGAGATATTGTACCCTGACATATTGTTGTTGAGGTTGATATGTGGTTATACAGACCTCACAAAGTACAACTTTAACAGAGATACTGTACCCTGACATATTATTGTTGAGGTGATTATGCAGTAACATAGTTTAGAGTGAGTAGCCCCTGATAAGCCAAAAACTTTATACGCAATTTTTCCTTTTTGTTATTCTTATGTTCATACATACACTGTACATGTACATAGTGCCTTGTTTCATCAACAGAAGCAATTAACAGGTTAACTGTGTTTTAGTAGTATATAAATAGTCACATAGTCCTAGGAAAGAGATGATGAGAAATACTCATACCTAAAAAATATGAAAAGATGCTGTATTTTTATCATCCATCAAAATTTTATGAAAAAACGTCACACTGGAGTAATTGTATTTCTAAGGTTTCTCGATTTCTTTGCAACACAGGTGATTTGATTTTATACTTATATCTTACTGTTACTGCGGATTGTATATTGTAATATTGTTGAAGTATGTACTTATGTTTGTCACAACAATAGCACTATCACATGTATAGGAAGTTAAATAAAGCTTCTGGTCTATTTTCACATTAAATAGGTTGAAAATTACCTAGACTTTTATTTAGTAGACTTCCTGCATGATGCCTTCTAATTCTATGTTATAAAGTCACAACGAAATGTTATTTGACAAAAGGTACATAACTTGACATTGAATTATAAGCTGGTCGATTCACTTCTTGTTTGATTGACGGCAAAACAAAGTTATGACACAAATATTTTACCAGGACTGTTTCATAACTTCCATTATCATTTAAACCTCTGAAAATAAATCCTGTCTGACTATTGTTAAGAAAACAAACAGAAAGCTCTTCATCTAACATCCAAAGCTCACAACACTGAGAAATGGAAATATGAGTCAAAATGCCCAGTCAGACAGAACTTGTCAGCACAGCTGAGGTCTGTTACTTTAGATATATCTTCACATCTTTAATACTAATAGAAAAATCACACAAATAACACAGAAATTACCCATGAACAATTAATATTAAGGTATCAAGTATCACCATTTTAAGTGTCATCTTTCACAGATGATGATTATTGCTTTTTTTAAATGTAGTGCTCATTAACATCTTCAACATCCCAACACAGTGGGGTAAGAAAGTTCCATATTTGTGCATAAATTTTGTGGTATTATATACACATTTTACATGATATAATATGATAAATGTACCTTGATAATGCTACATAACCTTTGAATAAATGACTTGAATCATGTGTGGTTATTCTCGTTTTTTATTAGCTTTAAAAATGACAGGTGTCTGTAAATCAATGTGAAATCTTGAGAAATTATAAAAAAGTGAAATACTGATTGGCACTGCTGATATGTTAGATTTATAATCATACACGTGATATGTAATGTTTATAATCATACACGTGATATGTAATGTTTATAATCATACACGTGATATGTAATGTTTATAATCATACACGTGATATGCTTGTTTATAATCACACATGTAATATGCTATGTTTATAATCACCTGTAATATGTAATGTTTATAATCACACATGAGATATGCTACCTTTATAATCACCATGTTATACAATATCTTGATAATCACACATGTAATATGTAATGTTTATAATCACACATGAGATATGTAATGTTTATAATCACACATGAGATATGCTACCTTTATAATCACCTGTAATATGTAATGTTTATAATCACACATGAGATATGCTACCTTTATAATCACCATGTTATACAAGATACTCCTTAAAGGAGATAGGTGCTTTACTCAGCAGCTGAGAAGTTTATGATTTTTCAGAGCTGGACATGCACTATTGTCTCCATGATCTACCCTTAAAGGAAATTAGTACTTTACTACACTTACCTTCATGAAAACTTTCTGCACAAAGACCAGATGGTTGAGTAGGTCTGTTGTAAGGCTGTGTTCAAACATGCCTACTTCAGCTACAGCATTAAGGTAACTTCCCTCCTTCAGCATTAGGCCCTGGCCAGTCAGACTCTCCGCAGCCATTGGGCCTTCACTGGTACTCATGGAGGAGGAAGACAGCCGATAGTCAGCGAACATGTGGATGGGAGGCAGATCTATACTGGCCTGGGATGGGATGGAAGTCTCTGTGGTGACCACCTGACAAGAAACACAGACACAACTCAATCAGTAGCTCATTTATATTTTACTAATATTTAAGACAAAAGGACAAATGAGGGCCAGTCTACAATCTACTGTAAAATCTTATATTTTTGTGCGGATCAATCTTTGTGGTTTTACAAAAAAATTTAGTAATTTAGTAGACATTTTATTGCACTTTTAGATACAACAAAACACTCCCCCCTCCCCCAACATGCTGGATGACTCTTTCTCAAGTTTCATATGAAGGTTTCCATTTGTCTCTAGTTTGATTCTGAGACAAAATGACTAACAGGTGGCCATCTTGGATTGTGAAAATGAAAGTTTGTTATTGCTATTTCTTAGAAAGTACTGGATAGAGTCCCTTGGTTTACTATAAATAGAATCCGACAAAAGAAGGTAATGAACATTACCTTAGACTTGAAGCTGAGGGAGTGTTTCTGAAGGTCTACAGTAAATCTAGCCTTCTTTCCTGTCATCCCAGTCAATGTTATGGCACCAGTCTGAAACAAATCCCAAAGGTAGAATGAAGAATTCCACTAAACAGGTGATGTTAATATGTGAATATTAAACAATGAAAAAATTAATTGTTATTACAAAAGGGGTTCATAGTGGTAATAATTTAAGCAAGACTTTCCGATGAATATTGAATGGCATAAGAAAGCAAAAGGGGCCATCATGTGGAATAATTTTTACATGTGTAAATCTGAACTTTGAGATACTGTATAGCTAGATATTTTCATATACCTAAACTTTAAAAATTTTCTCTCAAAATGTGAAAATTAAATGCTCAGAAACTTAATTTTTCCAACCTGGAGATATGAGACCTGATGTCAAGTTTTAACACATTACCACAGACTCTGTATTAAATCATAAAATGAAAGCTTATCATTGGTCTAATATCATGGTAGAAAGATATTTTTCTGTTTGTGGCTTCTTATGGGTTTGACTAGTCATAGTATGACCTTTTCTCTGAACTTATATCTCAAATAATATGTTCAGGTGTTATATTATTTCACAACTTATCATTTTCTGATCACATTAATGACTCGCAAATTAGCAAAAATATCATCTCATAAATATCACTGGGTTTACAGTATAGAAAAAGGTGTATAAAAGTTCAAGGCCCAGTGTAGTATACTATGTACCTTGTGCTGAGCTTTGAGGGAAGGCAGGAGGGAGGCCCCAGTAACAAGCCCTTGTAACACAGCCTTAAAGTGGAGATGTAAGAAACTTGGTTTTCTCTGAGCCTTCTCCTTCATTTTTACTGTCTTTGGAGCTTGCTGTGGAGTGGTCTCCCCTTTTCCAGTTTCAGCACTGTCTAACTCTGGATGGGTCTCCAGGGTCCGACTATATCATCAACAAAAATGTGAAAATTATCAATTATTTATTCAACACCACATATTTTTCTGATTTATGTCTTTTGAAAGTTATCCACATTTTGATCAACAAAAAAGTCATATATGTGAATAGCTGTTTCAGTAAAATTCCAGTTTAGAAGATTTCCTATAACTACAAACTTATGGAAAAGATTCAGGCTGAATATTTTTAAAATATAAATTCAAAAGCATACATTGGAATATTTTACAAGTTTTCCTAATATTTTTCTTGCTACTAATGAAAGGGAATTATACTCTCCATTATATTACTTGTGTTGATGGATGGCTTAATTTAAAGAACTTTAACATTGTGTAATATAAGGGCCTTGTGTATTTACCCAGGTATTAGAGAGTGAGAAATTATATCTGTTCTTGTTGAAGGGTCTCATGAACTTTATGAAATAATACCTTGTCCTGTTAAAGGGCCTTCTGAACTCTTGTAGAGTGTTCGTAATTTGACGGGAGCTCCGTGTCATCATATCGTGAAGGACAATTGGATGTTGAGGGATATTAACATCGATCACTCCGACAGACACCATGGCAGAGTTATGGTCCTTGCCTCTCCTCATAATGGTGGTATAGAGTGCCTGAGACTTGTCAATTTTGACCGTCACCACTGTCCTGATGGTAATAATAAATAGTTTCAGCATTACAAAAACTACTTCTGTATGTAAAGTTACAAAAACAAAATGTTATTAACTTACATGTTCCAAGTACACTCAATGTAATTTCTCACTTTTCTGTAAAACTGATATGGACAAAAAGTTAGTACAAAAAATTCCAGGGTTCTGAAAATACTGACAAATAATGATGACTTATGTCAAACAAACATCAAGCAATTCGAAACAAGCTATATTTTCACAGTTCATGGTTCATGTATGAGGTACCAGATAAAATGATTTTTTTCTCACTTGATTTCCGGTGGCAAACCTTCCACAAGCTTCATCATAGTGTGACCGATGTGTGCTGTAACAGAGGACTCCGAGGACTTTCTGTGTAGGAATCCTGGAAATATAACATCACTATGTCAAAAAATTTTTTGTGTTGTTTTATTTTTTGGATTTTTTTTAATGTCTATTAATAAACTTTGCAATTTGCAAAGAACATACAATTTTTAAGCCAAATTGCTGACATAATTTCATATGAAAACATTTGTTGTGCATCAATCTTTTTCTCATTAAAGACATCCAAATATATATAGACATTCTCACAAAGACATGCATATCACATGTTTTGTAAGACAAATTCTTCTTAATGTATTGGCCATATTTTGTGATAAGAATAATACTAGATTATTATAGGCCTCTCCATTTTTACCTTATTCAAATTTATGTTGAAGAGTCTCACCTTTGACTTTTTCTCTGTAAGATCCACTAGCATGCACATTCTTCAATTCTGACTCCAGTTTCAGTCCACTGAGTACAGCCATGATCTTCACCTTTTCTACCTTAGCAATCCCAAACACTACCAGAGGGATACTCTCACCTACGTAGATACCTGTCAAAAATATAATTATATCTATTTAGCAAGAAAGTGTAAGTAGCAAACCTAAGATGTAAAATATAAATTTTAACAACAAGGAATTAAAATGAATAAAACAAAAAATATAATTCTAATCATTAGCAGTGTTTTAATGATATCAGAAATATATAATTTCTAAATAATTTTATTAAATTGACATTCAACCATTATCACCTTACCTTTTTAAATATCAAATAGTAACTTTTTAAATCAAATTTAAATCTACATTCAATCATATTAAATTTAAATCCTACCAAATTTATGATACTTTTTGATTATTAAAGTATTTTTGTGAAATTTCATGATCATTATAAAATGAACTCCTCTGAATGTGAACAAAAACATGATACTTTGATTACTTTATACATTAATAGAATTAAAACAATTTTCCCTCACTCTGTCTGAAGCTTGTACTCTTGAAAGAGGAATAGGCTAGGTTCTTCTTCCCCAGGTTGCCCTCCTCCGCATCCAGCACTTTCTGACCAGCAGCACGTGTTGGTTTCTTGGCCTTATGTTGTGACCCTGCAGTCCCAGACTGATCATTTTGGCCCTCTACCGGCTCCTCCTCAATCACAGGAAGTTTGAAGGATGGTTTACGACCGACCGTTTTTGTTTCTGGCATTGTGGAATAAAGCTCCAGAAGATGGTACAAGGTCCTCCAGCATTTTGGTGTACTCTCCTTAATTTCATCCACAATTGTTTTCTCTGCAAGTGTTGGGGAAGATGTGTCCTCCAGCTCGATGGTAACAGAATCTGAGAGGTTCAGGGACTGCGGCGGTGTGGTGATCTCTGTAGATTTTGGTCCACTTCTTGGTATTGTACCAAGCCCCTTTGATAACAGTGGGGGACGCTTCATTGGTAGTTTATCAGGTCGTTTGTTATCAAATGGTAGTTTGAATGACTTAGACAGCAGTGAGCCAGATTTTTGGTGTGGGTACTGAGAAGTGACACCATGATGATGGTGATGGTGATGATGTGACACATCATGTTCATGTCCGCTCTTCCAGCTTGGGGTACGTGGCATCTCGCCGGAGGGGGGAGATAAACCACCACTCTGATGTGAGGCATCTGACTGCTGTGTGTCAGCGCTGGATGTCGAGTCCTTCGAGTCCTGTTTTCGGTGAGTTTTTATCCACTCCAAGTCAGAGTGACTCTGCTTCAGCTCTTGTCGTGTGTCATTTACATTCTCTGCCATTGTAACAAATTGATGAATGAGTCGTAACAGGGGCATATCAACATACTGAGTCACTGCCTGAATATTCATCATAAAATTTACCTGCAGAGTCGTAGGCTTTGCCTCTAGTTTATGCATAGCAAAATTACGTGGCATTCCACAAGAACCTTTAGATCTATCTGTAATTTCACCAGATTCTTTCAACTCAAAGTCAACAACATCATTCATAGATATGTTAGCAGAAAAATCCTCACATAGAAAAGCTGGAGTGTCTGAACTGATGTTCCATTTTGGGTGTTTACGACTTTTTCCCTTCCCCTTTGTGCTCTTCCTGTCAGACTCTGCTATTTGTATTTTCAAAAAGTCCAGTTTTCCCTGCAAAGACAAACTACCTCCAAACTTCTTCATCATAGCTGATGGCCTCACGCCCTCCACATGCAAGCCAATGCTTTGTAGGAATGGCTTGAACAGGCTCTGGGCATCAGCCAGCTGCATGATGGAGGTGGCCATTGTTAGTTGTTCATCATTCAAGTCCATGCGGCTATCGTCTTGACTCCATCCACTTCCAAACGCCCCCAACAAGGAATCCTGTCTCTTGTAGGAACTTCTAAATAAAGAAACAGACTATTGTATTTCCCTAGAGATTCCTCTGATTTCTAAATATATTCCGTAATATATCTAAAGGAATGTAATTTTAACAGATATATTAGAAATCACTCTGAGATAAAAGAATGATAAATCTTCCGATTGATTTTGTGGAAATTTAATGTTGTGGTAGTTAGTGTTTTGTACTAACACAAGTACCATCATGTACTCTAACCTGTTTCTCCTTGTTTATTGTTTTATTGATATTATGAACAAATCATTAATTGAACTTTAAGACACAAGCTAAATCAATACCTTCCATTTCCACACAAGAAATAATCAAAAAGATACCTCATATATGGGTACAGCCAACAAAGAGTGTGATAAAAACTTGTGTACCAAGTTTTGTATATATTTCCTGAAAAATGAATATGAAGAACTATGTAGCACAAACAACATTTCATTTTCCTTCATACAGTAATTTTTTGCCTCTACTTACCGTTCGTCATCCAATGGTTGACCATGGAACTGTTCCTGTTGACGAGCCATCCACAGATACAGATCTCCAAACTTGTCTACTTTATGTTTCAGAATCGACTGTTTCATAAACTCTGTCTTCATCGGAGTTGGTGGTGGTGTCATTTCCTGCTGGTCCAGGCTGTTCAGACTGGTTGCTGCTGAATGGAAGCTGTAATTACTGTCATTTCTTGTGATTGGAGGTGGGGCTAAAGGCCCTGGTTTCTGAGTGGGTGTTGGTGCACGTTTCTCTGGAGATTCTGCCGGATCCACTCCAGGCTTCCCCTGTGTTACAAGACGTTTATACTTGGACGATGTACCAGACATATTACTCACTGTGTCAGGATTATTTTTGTCAGAAAGCCCGAGATTAATTCCTCCACCACCAACTCCATACTTAAATAAATGCCCACTCCGTCCACTCAAGCTTGGCACAGACATGGAATGATGAACAGAGCCTCCTTCTGCTTGTAACAGTGATGTACGCTCATCCACAACATCAAAATTTTCCACATGACTGAATTCTTCATCATCTGTTAGATTTTCCATACTTTCCATAGGCACAGCAAATGTAACACGGTATGGGTTGACACTTTTACGAGATTTGAAGTCTAGCTCTGACAGTTGTGGCATGTACAACACATTCTTCCATTGTCGTGTGAGAGCCAGGATACCTTTCTGGATAGTGATGAGCTGGGGCAATGTATCTGCAGTAATGGCTGCCTCCACTAGCCCAGTGCCCTTCTTGTGTAGATATTTTCTCAGGGAAGTGAGTAACTGACAGGAGGGGTCCTCCTGGAAAGTCTTGGATAGAGATGTGTTCTTTCCATACTTACTCTGTCAACAACAAAATTTTCCTTTATTAAACAAACTTTCTCCATTGATGTAGGTCAAAGGTGATAATATAGGACATGTGACCTACTATTGTTACACAACAAACTTCATCAAGGTGAACCTTGTGAACGTAAAGACAAACAGGCACAACACAAATCTATATTCTCCCAACTACCTCCCCTCACCCATCCCCACCCCCTCAAGCCGAGTTTCTTGTTGAAAGCTAATTATAATAATACAGTCTTTGTTTCATAATGAAATAGATAAGAAGCTAAAAAGCACAGCTGGCAGTCTATCAACATACTGACAGCATTGTAAGTTGAAGTATCGTAGGACATTTTACCTGGGTAAGAATAGTTACTGATGTTTGCAGGGTTTGGCAAAAGGAATTCATCTCCAATGAAAATTTTACCCTGCATTTTTTACAATTTTAATTCTCTTTTGGAAAATCAGTACAGCTGTTTAAGTATGGCTCTATTTTAAATGTTGAATCACATAGACAAGAGTTTGGAAATTATCAATTGAAGTACACAAACATTACAAGCAACAGTATATTCGTGTAATAGTTACCTTGTTGGGGAGTTGTATTCCAGGCACCTCCAGGGCATCAGTCATGATGCAGGCTATTACAGAGCTCTGCCTATGAGTGAGAGCTAGGATGAGACATCGTACAGAGACCATCAACCGGTCCAATGGATTCAGCCAGGCATTGATAGCTGGAGTAGCACTACTCAGAAGATTCCAGTCCATCCTAAACAATGTTAAAAAAAACCAATATAGTTACAATACTGGTCTAAAATCTGAATACCTCTACTCCATTCTCTAAACCTATATAGTTACAATACTGGTCTAAAACCTGAATATCTCTACTCCATTCTCTAAACCTAAATAGTTACAATACTGGTCTAAGACTTGAATATCTCTACTCCATTCTCTAAACCTATATAGTTATAATACTGGTCTAAAACCTGAATACCTCTACTCCATTCTCTAAACCTATATAGTTACACTACTGGTCTAAAACCTGAATACCTCTACTCCATTCTCTAAACCTATATAGTTACAATACTGGTCTAAAATCTGAATACCTCTACTCCATTCTCTAAACCTATATAGTTACAATACTGGTCTAAAACCTGAATACCTCTACTCCATTCTCTAAACCTATATAGTTACTGGTCTAAAACCTGAATACCTCTACTCCATTTTCTAAACCTATATAGTTACAATACTGGTCTAAAACCTGACTGGTCTAAAAACCTATATAGTTACAATACTGGTCTCTAAACTCCATTCTCTAAACCTATATAGTTACAATACTGGTCTAAAATCTGAATACCTCTACTCCATTCTCTAAACCTAAATAGTTACAATACTGGTCTAAAACCTGAATACCTCTACTCCATTCTCTAAACCTATATAGTTACAATACTGGTCTAAAACCTGAATATCTCTACTCCATTTTCTAAACCTATATAGTTACAATACTGGTCTAAAACCTGAATATCTCTACTCCATTTTCTAAACCTATATAGTTACAATACTGGTCTAAAACCTCCATTCTCTAAACCTATATAGTTACAATACTGGTCTAAAACCTGAATACCTCTACTCCATTCTCTAAACCTATATAGTTACTGGTCTAAAACCTGAATACCTCTACTCCATTTTCTAAACCTATATAGTTACAATACTGGTCTAAAACCTGAATATCTCTACTCCATTTTCTAAACCTATATAGTTACAATACTGGTCTAAAACCTGAATATCTCTACTCCATTCTCTAAACCTATATAGTTATAATACTGGTCTAAAATCTTAATACCTCTACTCCATTCTCTAAACCTTTATAGGTACAGTATCCGTGTCAACATTAAACCTTCCCTCTTCATTATACAGATACATACCGTTATATAAAAAAACAGGTCTTAGGTTTATTCTATCCACTCCAGCATACACATACATTCTAATAATTTACAAAACAGGACTTAAGGTCAATTCTAGACTCTATGTGTCATGTGACTATATTACACAATCAAACTGACAATCTTTCATAATTAAGATATATTGTTGCATGCATAGGATATTCCACAGAGTTCTCATATCATAAACTCAGGTATTCAAAAGATTAAGAACCTATCAGAGGGTATACATAGTGTTTACCTTGTAAAGTCCACCTTGCGTTTGATAGAAATGGGTGGAGGAGCAGCAAAGTTGAACCAGATCGTGCTGAGGTGAAGTACACCTCCAGAAGAATCTCCCACAAGAGGTTCCACCTTAGCATCAAGTGAAATGGATGAGGCACTAGAAGGAATGGACACACGAGAGTCCCAGGAATGTAACGATGCTTCCTCAGTTTCATCAATCTTTATTCGTATCGTCTCCTCTTTCATTGGTTGTTGTGATCGTCCAATCTCAGTTTCAAGATGTATTCGAGTGGAGGTTTGGATTTCTTCAAGATTTTTAGAGACTCTTTCCATTTTGTGGAAAAACTCAGAATCAGCTATGTCCTTAAAGCCAAGTCTACGTACTGCTGTAGCATTTATTTCCTCTAGACCACACTCAAACATGATTAGACCAAAGCTTTGAGATTTGGATGAACTATGTCCATCTCTGCTTGACTGTCTCCGTGAGAGTTTGGTGGGGAATGAAGGGTCCTGAGATGGCTCATCAACACTGGCCTGTCTGAATAACCTACAACAACAGACAGACCATCGATAATTCTCAAACCTCTACAAGGTTAACACAAAAATACTGGGTAATGTCACATTTCTTCTAACACTAGAGGCGATCCTACTAAATCAAAAAGGCAAACTTTAGATATAAGAGGGTATATAGTGCATACATACAAATATATACAATTTTTATTGGTATACACACATGTAACATATAAATGTATAGATTTTTTGTATGTAAATATACATGTAACATACAAATGAATAGATGTTTTGTTTGTAAATACACATGTAATGTATAGATTTTTTGTTTGTAAATATACATATAACATACAAACAGTGCTATATACTTCTTAGTTTTACAATATATCATAATGATAATACATGAACAAGCCAACAGCAGATTATCATATACACTTATAGTACACACAATACAAATTTCAAAATTTTCTATAAAAATTACACATATTCCAGATAAATGTTTAATTAGTATTAAAATAAAATTCAAAATGAAAACTCAATTCAAAACATGCCACATCAACATCAAAATTCAAGAAAATGTAAGAATAATTTCTGTCTCACTTTCTCTAAAAAGAATTCTTGCAAGACTACATATTCACCTGAAAATGCTTAAGTAAAACAAGTGACCTAAAACTTAATCATAAAATATATCACATTTATGAAAAAGTATATCACAAGTACAACAAAGTTAATCCCAAGTACAACAAAGTATATCACAAGTACAACAAAGTATATCACAAGTACAACAAAGTATATCACAAGTACAACAAAGTATATCACAAGTACAACAAAGTATATCACAAGTACAACAAAGTATATCACATGTACAACAAAGTATATCACAAGTACAACAAAGTATATCACATGTACAACAAAGTATATCACAAGTACAACAAAGTTTATCACATGTACAACAAAGTTTATCACAAGTACAACAAAGTATATCACATGTACAACAAAGATTATCACATGTACAACAAAGTATATCAAAAGTACTACAAATATATCACAAGTACAACAAAATATATAACATGTACAACAAAGTATATCACATGTACAACAAAGTATATCACATGTACAACAATGTATATCACATGTACAACAAAGTATATCACATGTACAACAAAGTATATCACAAGTACAACAAAGTATATCACATGTACAACAAAGTATATCAATCAAAAGTACTACAAATATATCAAATGAACAACTGATTTACCTGGGCAGTGTTGATCCTCGACTGTCACTGTCTTTACTGGACTGTCGATTTACACCCTTCCCTCCAACATCACGACTTGTCTGCCGACTCATCGGAGGCCTTGGAGAATGTCCTGAGGAAGAATCTCTTCGTCGTCTTGGTGATGATGTGAATGAGAATACACCTCCTGTTGATGGGAAGTCCTTGTCGAAGGTGAAATGTACTTTGGATTTATATTCTGGGATAACTGTTAAGAGGATGTCATTTGAAAAATTGCTGTCCTTTAATAGACGCTGTAGTTGCAGATGCACTCGGGAGATATGAAGTGTTGCCACATCTTCTTCACGACAAACCTCAGACACTTGATTTTCAGAATCACCCTGCTCACTGTGAGCAAAGTTATGGTTCTTGGATTTCTTCTTTGGGGATGCACTAGCTACTGGTGTAGCAGAGAGAGGGCTGGGGTCTTGAGGATTGCGGTATGAATGACTATTGGATAAAAGTTGGCAGCGAATGTCACCCACACTAACAGCTAGTAGTGACACACATGTTAATTCGTTTATGTTCTCCAGGGCTGAGAAAGATATCAGTTCCTCTACAATACCAGCCTGTAGCAGGCAGATATTTATCTGTATAAAAAAAACATGTAAAGCAGCAGCCATTACTAAGGACATCTATAGACAAAGGATGGATCCATATCACACACACACCTGCACATCAAAAGTTAATGGAAACCTATTTTATATCATCAGAACCTAAGTATTTTGTCATCCTGTTTAATTCATCAATATCCTTTCCAAAGAACACAACAGACCTATGTATTCAGACACCCTGTCATATAAACTGTTATCAGCAGAGTGAAATTAGACACTTTAATTTGATAATAAAATGTTTATTGATATTTTTGTTTTATATGTAAAATCAATACTTTCACAGAATCATGACTTAATAATGTTTTTCACTGCTTTTGTTTCATGGGATATTACACAAAGGAAACTTATTCTACTAAACTAATGAAAAATGATTGGAGAAGTATTTTTACCTTACTAAGAGTGAATAAGGCCTGTATACTTGATGTCTTCATCTCCCCAGTACGTAGACGGGACTCTGTACTGAACTGTCGTTCTGTGCTGGTGGTGTTGTCACCTCCTTCCGACACCATCTCTCTCATTGTAACACCCTTTTTAAGTCGATTCTGCCGCTTGAGACGATCCAAACATTGAGTATGTAATCCATCAATGATAGAAGATGGGTGGAGCATTGTCAGGGTTGGAATAACTGCCTCCACATATCTACAAGATCAAATTGTTATTGTCTTCATCTGGTCATACTGGGTGATAAGCCCACCAATATTTAATGCTGTTTAGTGGAATACTTATCAGATTTATTGTCCTGTTATAAGTTAACCTCTTGATTTTCAGACAGAGATAATGTGTTGTCCCCCTGGGCTTATTCAGGATAGATACAGGCAAGAGAACGAGAAAGGTTAACCTCATACTAGATGTCCACTTGTAAGATACAGAATCTTCAGCCAGACATTTATTTCAAGGGCAATAACTCTAGAAAGAGGTTGAAACATATCATGGGTTAAACATAAGTTTCTGTGATAATGGTACCTTTGAAATGATTCGAGGAATAGTGGAGTGATCAAAACATCCATTGATCCTTTAATCTTGACTACAGCCGTTGTGATAGATGCACTTTCCATCCTCAGTTCTGTGATATCCTCCAGGTCTGTCAAAAAAAACACAATGTTCTCTGTCCGTCATTGCTATCAACTAGACTGGTCATAGATTTGAAATCAATTTTCAAAAACCCTACAAACGTAAATACACTAAAGATATACATAGAATGTGATGCCATTTAAACCTGACCATGATTGGTATCAAATAAAACTAAAAATGTTTCTGTCAGCATTCACTGATATAAAGTACATTAAAGATGATATTTCCAACTCAAATACCTGGACTGACAGGCAATGTGATTGCATCTTGTGGCAGAGACAAAAAAATAGTTTTTTCTCTATACATTAAAATCCCATTAGGACAACTGAACTCTTCATGTACCAGCTCATATTTCTCAGGATGTCAATTTTCCATTTTTTTCAAACAATTCTCAAATTCATAAATCTCCCTTTATATCTCCTTGGTATAACACTAAAATTCATACAATGCAATTTATTTCTGACTTTCTTGTATTAATGAATCAAACAAATGCTCTGTATTATCCTACCTTCTATGGTGTCTTTGCCCTTCCCTGAACCACCTTCGTCCATCACATGGCCATCCTTAGGTGTAGCCGAGGTGGTGCCTCTAGTCACATCCTCCTGTTCCAGGGTCCTCATCTGTGAGACACTAAAACCTTGTCGTACCCTGATGAAGTGAGGTACACACGCAGGACTATGCACATATTGGGCGGACTGACCAGCCGAGGACAAAGAGTATAGGGAAGGATCAGTGTGGCCCATATGACCTTTGCCCTGACCAGAATTAGGCTGGTACCAATCATGACACTGTAACTGGGTGAGATGTCGTGAGTAACATGCTAGCAACACTGGGGACCTCGTAATGGGTTTATTAACTTGGCTGTGAAGGTCAACCAAGGACACATTGTCCGGGATATCTGGCCCTGATATTGTGTCTGTGTCACTCTGATCTGTCGGGGCGGATTCATACGATATTGTTGATGCATTACTAGAACGTCTATTTATCACAGTATTAGCTACACTTATCACAGTTTGGTCCTCTACTTTATCTTCAGGGGTTAAAGTTTTGTTCATTCCCATGTCTGGTAATGTTTGAGAAGAGTCATCCAACGAAACAAAATGTCCACTACTTGGTCGAAGTGTAGAAATATCTTCCTCTGCAGAGAAGTAGTGTTCACTCTCAAGAGATGCTACAGAGTATGCTTTGGGGCCACTGCTGTGCCTGAGCAACTGTGGACTTGGAACAGAACTTAAGGTTCCCTTCCTCATCACCCCAGGACTATGCGACTCTATACTCTGTCCATCAGGAGGAGTCATGAACCTTGCACTTCGTAGTGAGGTGTCATCCAAGCTTCCTTTGCGAGATGTATAGCTCAGAGTGTCGTATGACTGAAACGTTTCTTTGTCTCCTGAGCTTGGTTGGATAGAGTCTGATTGAACTGTCAGTTTGTGTCCACTAGTACTACTGGCCGTTGTTTGGTTGGACATGTTGCTTTTTAAGGTACTGGTAACTGACTGACCAGCACTGCTGTTTGTCCATTGTTTGTCTGTAGCTACTGACCCAGACTGACTTGTACTACCTACAATGTCTTCTGTGATATTAAAGTGCATGGCTGGAGAGTCTGGACTTGTCATATCACTCATATACCCACGAGTAAATGCAAACCCGCGCCCTTTGTGAGGTGACAAACCTCCATTAGATGGAGATACTTCAAAAACCAACTTATCTCTAAATAATAAACTTTGTCCAAAACCTGGGTCATGACCTTCTGGAGAAACCTGTGGCACGGCAGAAAATGGCATATCTTTAGTCCGCCTTGGATTAAAGAATCCAATTCCGTTTTTATTATTTCCAAAAAATGTACAACCTCCATGACAACCACACTTGCCTACAACAGCAGAACTGATCTTCATTGTCTCTACTGGCCAAAGAAACCAAAGTCGCTTAGTTTTCTTATCATGTATCTTGAGAAACTGGTTTTGGATTTCATGATAATCAGGGTTAGGGAGTGCCATGGCTGCTTCAGCATCTATGGGACCCATGGTGAGGCCACCTGACTCCAACCAGGTGTTGGAGTGATCCTGTTTACAGTCTTTGTGATGGAGGGCTGCTGCAGAGATGTACTGGGTGAAGGATAGGTGTTCTATCTTACCCGTGATTCCTGCGCGTGTGTTTGTCCCGTGGAGATTACAAGTAGATATCTTTATAGGATAGAGCTGGTAAAATAAAGTAAAAAGAATGTAAGATTAGTGTGTAAGAGAAAATAACAGCATTTTGATCTCTATGAACATAACTTTAATCTTTTAAACAAACAAGAGTGTCAGGGAAACTGATAAATGCTTCCCAAAAACAACTTTATTAGACACCAATTTCAACAAAGGGCAATAATTTTGTAATTTGGGAGTTTCAGGCTCTCAATTTAGTATACTGTGAATCCTCAAAGAATGCCAAATGTATCCACCATGTTTCATTATATCATTATTTAAAGGCAAGCAAAGTTATGCTTCAGACACGAAAGAACAGAGGGGAAAACAGACAGATGGAAAGACAAAGTGGCAACTATATCTCCCCGGCAAATTTTCGGGTAGAATAAAAATTATTCAACAATAATCTGGTATTATCGACATATCTATATATGTCCACGAAATCATACACAGATAAAAAGTTGATATTGATTATAGTACTAGTGAATTTTGTATGCAAGAGTTCATACACAAAATTGAGTGCAAACAAAGTATATTTTTGGAAAACTTTTTAATTTCAGCCGCATAAAGATATATAATTTTACAGTATTTTGGTCGAATGAAATGAATACTTATACCACAGTATCAAGAAATAATACATAAATTCACTACTAAGACAATGCAAATCTGTGTACCATAACCTATCCCTCTAATCTATTATTGAAGTCTTTGTGATTCCCTACTGATTACCTGTACATTGAAGGCAGTGCCAGACTCCACTAGAAAGAAACTGATCGAGTCTAGGGAGACCCTCGTCATGCGGTACTTAATGTCTTCAGATGATGGGCAGTAGAAACGATACTTGGACAGCATGCGACACTGAGGCTGAGGAAGCATGTGCTGACATAATCGGTAGGAGCGCGGGTGTTGTAGGCTGTTCTCAGGATCTTCCACCAGTGTAATGAATGTCTGCAGAAACTCCACAATGTTCTGTAACTACTCAGAGAAGAAAAACAACAATTAACGTAATCTTTGTCATCATTATTCGAAGTGTTAGATTGTTTTATTTTGTTAAGCTGAAGGTAAGTTTGAAAAAATTAAATTAGCCTGGTAGTTTACTATGTGAAAAAAAATACCAAAATAAAAGTGAATGACCTACCTAATGATTGTAAGGAAATACATAATTGTCCTATGTATCTTGTGAATAAAAACCAAGGTCGCTTTTACATAGGTGGTTGAAACGGTTGGACCAGTTGAACCAGGACTGAGGCTGGACTGCCGAATATTAGGCAAACTAACTTGCTGAATATCATGAGTTTTTCAGATTTTACGCATAAAGCAGGGTTGATGCATAAACATATTTATGAAAATATTATGCTATTAAGTATTGGTTAAATGGATGGTATTTTAATTTCTGGTTCAATGTTTAATGCTTCACAGGGAATTTCGAAACTAGGCATTTTGATTTTTTAGTATGTCAGTTCAAACATTCGGTACAGGGGCATTCATGTAATGTAGATAAAAACCACAATGTCTGAACCAGTTAAACAATGAAAGCAACCCAAGTGTCCAATTCTAACTCTGGTTGTATAAGTATCCTAGTTGAGAACAGAATGATGTCTTGTCTGAACTCAGTATATGTGAGTTATCAACCTGAACTCAGCTGATTTGGGTCTCCTATCTGGACATAAATAATTCCTACCTGCTTCTTCCTGAGAACAAGAGAGTTTGCCTGTTAAGTCATTAGTGACAGTCTTCTACCAGAGAACAAGCAAGTTTGCTTGTCAGGTCACCAATGATAGTCTCCTACCTCAGAACAGGTAAATTTGTCTGTCAGGTAACCAATGATAGTCTCCTACATCAAAACAGGTGAATTTGTCTGTTAAGTCATCAGTGATAGTCTTCTATCAGAGAACAAGCAAGTTTGCTTGTCAGGTCACCAATGATAGTCTCCTACCTCAGAACAGGTAAATTTGTCTGTCAGGTAACCAATGATAGTCTCCTACATCAAAACAGGTGAATTTGTCTGTTAAGTCATCAGTGATAGTCTTCTATCAGAGAACAAGCAAGTTTGCTTGTAAGGTAACTAATCATAGTCTCCTACCTCAAAACAGGTAAATTTGTCTGTCAGGTAACCAATGATAGTCTCCTACATCAAAACAGGTGAGTTTGTCTGTTAGGTCACCAATGACAGTCTCCTATATCAAAAGAGGTGAGTTTGTCTGTTAGGTCACCAATGACAGTCTCCTATATCAAAAGAGGTGAGTTTGTCTGTAAGGTCAACCATGATAGTCTCCTACCTCAAAACAGGTGAGTTTGTCTGTTAGGTCAACAATGATTGTCTCCTATATCAAAACAGGTGAGTTTGTCTGTAAGGTCAACCATGATAGTCTCCTATATCAAAACAGGTGAGTTTGTCTGTAAGGTCAACCATGATAGTCTCCTACTTCAAAACAGGTGAGTTTGTCTGTTAGGTTACCAATGATAGTCTCCTACCTCAAAACAGGTGAGTTTGTCTGTTAGGTCACCAATGATTGTCTCCTATATCAAAACAGGTGAGTTTGTCTGTAAGGTCAACCATGATAGTCTCCTACCTCAGAACAGGTGAGTTTGTCTGTTAGGTCAACCATGATAGTCTCCTACCTCAGAACAGGAGAGTTTGTCTGTTAGGTCAACCATGATAGTCTCCTACCTCAAAACAGGTGAGTTTTTCAGTTAGGTCACCAATGATAGTCTCCTATATCAAAACAGGTGAGTTTGTCTGTAAGGTCACCAATGATAGTCTCCTACCTCAAAACAGGTGAGTTTGTCTGTAAGGTCACCAATGATAGTCTCCTACCTCAGAACAGGTGAGTTTGTCAGTCAGTGTACCATGATAGACTCCTACCTGATTCTACCCAAGAACAAATAAGTTTAGTTTTCAGGTCATCATTGTTAGCTTCCTACCTGAGAACAGGTAAGTTTGCCTGTTAGGTCACCAATGATAGCCTCCACCAGCCAGCCATATTCTAGTGTTTCTGAATCCAAAGGCAGTCCCTCCAAGGAGAACATAGCATGACCTCTGACCTGTAACCCTGATAACCCCAGGTGACCCACATTAAGATGTCCTTCACCTTCATCTCGCTGTCAATCAAAGAAAACAAGATAAGCTAAATCACTCTTTAAAATGAGCACTAATCTGCATATAATGCAACATTCTGCAAAAGTGTATATTTAGAGAAATTTTGCATTTACAAACATTTTGCTAAGATATGAGTATTACTAAGTATGCAAAATATTGCAATTTCAGCCTTTTCAAGCCATGATTTATCTCAAGATAATTCCTACTCACAAAAATATTAAAAAAAAATTAGATAATTTAGAAAAAATAAAATTAAGTAATGAAAAAATAAATTCAATTTACTTGAACTCATAAAGCACACAGTTGCACTGCTGTTCACTTCAATATGACAGTTTGGCTATAAAATCTTAATAACAGGTAAGTGCTGTCAATGTTAACATACTCTACCTCTAATGTATCCTTGGCAACCAGAATGACAGGAGATAAAAGCAACTGAAGTTTGGTCTCCTTGAAGTTTTTATCCAATTCAAAGCATAGCCTCTCTAAATTAATACTGGGACAGGGAAGGCCTTCTATACTGCAGTTCTGTAACAATAATCAGGGTTAATATACAGTCAAATCCAATCCTATGGACTGCCAACAGTTCGGCTGTGCTACAATATTCATGACCTTCCAGTATTTTAAATAACATTTCTACCATTTCCATAACCATAAAGCTATTTACAAAACAGTTTGGTTTTCTTCTTTTTTCCTTCCTTTTTCCTTCAGGAAATTTTGCTATAATGTTTTTTTTAGTATTAAATTATATTTAGCAGGGATTGAAAACGAGAATTAACCTTATACCAGTTGAAATCACAACAAGACAACTATAACTCTTCATGTAGCACTCCTAGTATAGATAAAATTTTTGAAAAAATAGTTTACACCTAAAAAGTCCTGATAATGCCACAAGTAAATGCAATAAAAACTTCAGAGCACAAAGTCATGACCAGCAAAATAGCTATAAAAAGATATTGATAGTTCTGATACAGTCGATGATAGAATGATTTATGTGGAGTCAAGATAATCAAGATCTTAATAGTACAAAATAGAAAACCACACTCATGAATAGTAGAAACATCACCTTGACAAGGTGGGCGTGTATATCATGGACAGTTACAGACACAGTAACAGCAAATGGTCTGAACTTCCTGCCATCAAATGGCTCTGTATCTTCTCCACCCTCTGATGCTGACAATGGACCCATGGCTACGTTGTCTCCAGAGCTCCTTGTTGTACCCAAATCATGGAAATCTGTAAATACCTGATCTTCTCCCAGGTAATTTTCCTTTATAGAAAAAGAAACCTCGTAAGTAAAATCTCATATCATTTGAATGGTTGAACATTATTCAATTTTCATCACTATTGTCCTAAAACATGTAACAGTATGTCATGATAAATGCTGTACATCTTTCCTTAAATAACAACAGAAAAATCTGCCTTTGGAGAAGCATAAAAAGAGACATTACTACCAAATCAGAAGATACCAATTTTGAAGACGTTGTTAAAAAACCCCAAACGAAAGATAACCTGTAATTGTAACAACAACAAGAAACCATTTTAAACATTCTGACATATTTTTTTATTCAATACTTCAAGTTTCATTTGAGAAAAAATTATGATCCAAGAAAAGTTATCATGAGATTGAAATTACTTGTTCTCACATGAACTTAGATCAAAGAAACCATCTACATCATACAGACCAGGAATACCATTCCACACATCTTACCTTAACATGTATAAAATTTCTTAGCAGGGGACCATACAGACATAGAAGGGAGGGGGCAATTTCCAATTCTACTGCGATCAAATCTGCAGCCATTTCTCCAGGATCAAAGTTAGGTGGGGGCTGACTTCGCTTCTGTTCACTCCTCAGGGGTCGGAGAGGTATGAGTAAAGCCTCCTCTAACTCTGGTGTAGTAATGGTTCCCTCTTGGGCCAGCGGAGACTGTGCCTTAGCCAGACTTGGCATAGGGTGGTATGTGTAACCAATACTTAGGGCTACATTGGAGGTGTGCCAACAATCAATCCAATCTTGTCTGAAACACAAGGTATGTAAAGTCGTTTCTATTATTTTTATGTTACAATAGTTTTCGGACATATCAGGCAGTGTTGAATTTCAAGTTTTCGGACTACTTAAAAGAAAAAATGATTATCATATTGTCACAGAGAATTTACTTTCATATTCCAGGTATGACCCATCCTAACAAGAAATTATACAAAGTGTCTGAATGAATCAGTTTCAAATGAAATATTTCATTCTTTCAGTATTTCTGTAAGCTAGTAATTTTCATGATTTTCTTTTAACACAACTGCATAATATTTTAACAAATTAAAACTTACGATCTGGATGTAAAAGAACATCTTGTATACATGTGTCTCATTATTTCAAGTATTAAATTTTCATAATTATGAGAAGGTACCACAACATAGTAAAAATATATCTCCATGAAAATAACCAGCTATATGGTACTTACCCTTCTGATGTGGCAGTGAATCGCCTCCACTGTTTCTTCCCCGGCAGTTGGAATGGGTTCTCCATTATATTGCCATCCCGATCCATTAACTTCATACTCTCAGCAATGGCCATCACAACATGTCTGCTCGTGTTGTTCTCTGGCAAGAACAGCCGACAAAAGGCATTCTCTCCCTAAAACAGGCAAACACCAGTTTTACTTATTAAATTACCTTTTGTTTATGTAGAATCAGTAGTGAATCTTTCTAATTTTTCCAAAGTTTGCCTTTATGAATACTTTTTATCCTGTATGTCTGTAAGATATGATAGGGAATATGGACAAGAAAAATGAAAGGACTGTTTATAAGGGACGGTTGCTTAACAAGTTCTATATGGCATATATTTATGAAAGAAGCTTGAAATTTAGTTGAAACAGAAGAATAAAATGATATTTTCTTTCATTCCAATAGCAAGTAAATTGGATTTACATATATTAATGACAGAAAAGAAGAAGAAATCTAGAGCTAACTAGAGTTAACTAAATCTCCTTTAAAGTTGGGCATAAATTGATTGTCTGAATGGTAGATAATGAACATACTTTGATGAGAAACTCAACATGGACAGTTGGAGGTAAATAATCATGGTACGGCAGTACAAGAGATAAATCCAACGTCTCTCCACAGATTGCAATATGGGCTGTAAACAAAACAATATAAGCTATAATGTTGGCTATCTGTTACCTCTATGTCTCAGTTACTTCAGGGCCAAAATTTTGAAAGATAACCCTTAAAAGACATTTATTGAATTGACAATACACATATTACGATATTCACAATATTTTCAAGAGAATACAAGATTCCTGCAATGTGTTGCAAGACAAAGCTATTTCAAACCAGGACTCAAGATTCTCATATATTTTGTCAAAGACTCTGCCAAGGATAGGACAAAGACAAAATCCTAAGAGACTTTGTCTAACCCTCTAACTTGTATTCCTTTCTGAAAAAAATTCTTCAGCAAAACAAATTCTTTAAACAACTTTATATAATGATACTTACAAAATGATCATAACTCTCTGGAAATTCACTCTAATGAGAATGAAGATCAAGAATTTTCATTTCAATTCAACAAATCTTATTGTATAAACATATACAAATGGATCAAATAAGCGTAGCCTATTCTCAAGTATTAATCACTTTATCCAGGTTTCATCAGAAAAGACAGTATTAAAGGACCAAGGTTTCCACAAAATCAATATACAGAAATCTGAACACAATTCCCTGGGAAATCATTACATAAAAAAATGAAATCACAGGAGCCTAATTCAATAAATGATAAAATTTAAATTAATAAAAGTTACTAACTTGACATAAAAAGCTGATTATTTATTAACATTCAAAGCTACAATGGCAAGGGGGACAAATATCTCCAAAAGAAGAGAAAAAATGTGTTCAGTGTTGTAAAAACACTGAATCCTTAACATTTCCAAACACTGAACACTAATGCTATCTAGATATGATGGGTCTATGTGATGCTTTTACCATTCTCAGGGTTCTGGGAGGAGGTATCAATCCAGTTGTACTCATTAGCCAAAGTGATAAGTTCAAAGTCTTTGATGAGTAAATTGATGGTCCAAGTATACGGCACAAAGTGGTAGAGGTCAGGTACGGTCTTTGTTGACCAATCCTCAATTAAGTCTACAAGTAAAAAAGTACTTGTTATATCGAAGATCACCACAACACATGGTTTTTGTCACTGTACTGCTTGATTCAACTGAAAATCAAAGTTAACTTCAAAGTGGTGAATGGACAATACAACATGTTTATTCCTCAGCACAACATAAATGGTTTCATACCCATTGAGTTAATTTTCTTCTCTTAATGAAAACATTTTTGAACTTCAGATTTTCTTTCCACAGCTATTGGATTCTTATTTTCATATTTTAAGAGAAAAAAAAGTAAATATTTTTGTTTTTCTCATCACATTAATTTATAAACTTTTATTTAAATGTAGAATCAAAGTCACGGATTAATTTACAGACTACAACCTAAATACATATTGAAACACTCATATCATTCATTCAATTGCACTTGCCTACGAAGAAAAACTTGTGTTGGAATATAAGCCAGACTGTGGCTTTACAAGCGATGAAGTCACATTGCCATTCCTGGTGGTCGTTCCATACCAGAGGGTAAGATGCTGACACATCAAACTAGAATTTAAAATTTGATACAATCAGTAATATAACATAAAGTGTATGTATAAGTACAGCCATTGTCATCCTCATTGAGGACAAGTAATGTACTGGTTGTAACTGAATAAGAAATCTTGAAGTTTTAACAGAATAAGTAACATCCTGGTTTTCACTGAGTAAGAAATATTCTAGATTTTACACCACAAAAAATATTCTAGATTTTACACCACAAGAATTATTCTAGATTTGACAATACAAGAATTATACTAGATTTGACAACACAAGAATTATTCTAAATTTGACAACACAAGAAATATCCTGGTTTTGACAACACAAGAAACATTCTAGATTTTACACCACAAGAAATATTCTAGATTTGACAACACAAGAAATATTCAAGATTTGACAACACAAGAAATATTCTAGATTTGACAACACAAGAAATATTCTAGATTTGACAACACAAGAATTATTCTAGATTTGACAACACAAAAAATATTCTACATTTGACAACACAAGAAATATTCTAGATTTGACAACACAAGAAATATTCTAGATTTGACAACACAAGAAATATTCTACATTTGACAACACAAGAAATATTCTAGATTTGACAACATCAAGAAATATTCTACATTTGACAACACAAGAAATATTCTACATTTGACAAAACAAGAAATATCCTGGTTTTGACAACACAAGAAATATTCTAGATTTTACACCACAAGAAATATTCTAGATTTGACAACACAAGAAATATTCTACATTTGACAACACAAGAAATATTCTAGATTTGACAACACAAGAAATATTCTAGATTTGACAACACAAGAAATATTCTACATTTGACAACACAAGAAATATTCTACATTTGACAACACAAGAAATATTCTAGATTTGACAACATCAAGAAATATTCTACATTTGACAACACAAGAAATATTCTACATTTGACAAAACAAGAAATATCCTGGTTTTGACAACACAAGAAATATTCTAGATTTTACACCACAAGAAATATTCTAGATTTGACAACACAAGAAATATTCTACATTTGACAACACAAGAAATATTCTAGATTTGACAACACAAGAAATATTCTACATTTGACAACACAAGAAATATTCTAGATTTGACAACACAAGAAATATTCTACATTTGACAACACAAGAAATATTCTACATTTGACAACACAAGAAATATTCTAGATTTGACAACACAAGAAATATTCTAGATTTGACAACACAAGAAATATTCTACATTTGACAACATCAAGAAATATTCTACATTTGACAACACAAGAAATATTCTACATTTGACAACACAAGAAATATTCTAGATTTGACAAAACAAGAAATATCCTGATACTGATTATAATTTTGGGTACATATAAAGATAACAAAATGAAAATTACAGCATCTGTAATCTATGAAAGGATTTATGCATGAATCTGAACAACTGTTTTATATAAACGATGTTTGTTCTCGTTATAAAAGACAAGTTCTATATTAATTATTCTACCTCAAATGTCTCACATTCCACTAGTGAGCGATATTGAAGACTGGTTGTGGCATCCATGAGCAGTAACTGGCCTTTTGTTTTTGTTGTGTAGCCATCTTCTTCAATTACCCACGGGACATTTGTCTCAACATACGATCCTGGACTTGTGTTCATGTGTATAGCTTGTGTTTCCTGTTAAAATACACACAAAAATGTTAAAATCTACTATGAAACAAGACCTTCTTTTCTCAACACTAAGAGGGATAGGATTATTTGGTCAGATTGAACTTATGGAAAGCAAAACTCAATTGATGTTAGATTAAATGACACACATACAAACAAAGCCATTACAATGATAATGTTTCTGACACACAAACACATAAAAAAAATGATGGTAACTCACCGATTGTTTAGTAAATAAAATATCAATCGTGGCTTTTTCCAGCATACTCATACGGAACTCAAAACTCTTAAACTGCCGTCGTTCCCCTGGCTTGGCTTCCTGTGATGGCACCATGGTCTGGTAGTCCGCCGGGTAGAAAAACTTGTAGAGATGTTCTCTACAATACAAAATTTGGATCATCAGAACTTGTGCCAATATATATATGAATTCTTTACTCAGTACACTAAAGTTGATTAGTGAGAAAACCTTCTCTTACTTCAATCTCTACAAAGTGACTTTCACAATATATATTATTATTATGAAATACTTAACAGCCCATTAACACATAAAAGGTCATTAGGGCCCTTTCACAATATATCAAAACATCTATAAAAGTAGGAGCTATATACAATGTATATGGTTTAAGTCTTTAAGTAGTGTTTTGTGATGCTACCATCAGATATGCTAGAGCAGATGTCATTTGAATCAAATTGTCTAGAAACCAATTCTATGATATTAGTGATCTTTCATGGTTTAATTTTGTACATTTCAAGATGTAAATATCAACTGAGTGAAAATTTCAGATATGGGGCTAGGAACATCTATATCTAACCCACTATCTGTATGCGTGTTTAATACAAAATACTTGGAATGTGGGGTTGGTAATTTTTGATTTCCTGTAGAGTGATATCTTCATAGAACTATCTCATACCTCTGTCTGTCAGCCCAGGGTCCATAACTTAGGTCAGTATTGCGTCCACATTTGATGTCCATACCAAAGCAGGGATATGTCCGTCGCACAACAGTCTCTCCATCAGCTAGCTCAACAATCTCTGGCTCATATGGCACAATACCTAAAGCACAAAATTTTGGTTATCTGTCACAGCACAATACCTGAAGACATTACCTTTGGTTTGAGATAGAAGTAGTGCTTACAATGAGGTATAGACAAAAGTGTGTCAAGAGGATTTAATGATTTGACAATTAACCTTGTCTAATACTACAGATATGACAGTCTTCTGGTTCATTCTAGTCATAATATCTATCCTGCAACAAGTCCAAGGGACCAATATATAATCCTTAACTCAAGTCAGCTGATGCAGTAAGTTCTATTTTTCAAAAAGCAATATATATGGGTAGACTTGTTACACAAGATTTGGGCTTATAGTCCGATTAACGGTTTTGGAATATCTATCATATCTATATCATCTCACTCATCTAGTTCAAATTAACACGGTATAGTTATAATTCTTTGTGTTCTATGTACCTGGTTCATCATGGTAGTAATGTATGTTGATTTCTCTGGTCTGCAGCACAATAAAACCTTCTCCCATATACCGCGGCGGCCTGTAAAATATTATACAAGGGAATTCATCAAGTATTGGAAAATGTAAGAGAATTTTCATATAAACAATAACACTAAATGGATGCCTAGGGTTGGTACTAGATTTATATTGGGGATGATGAACTTTTCTAACACTATGTGATAAGTAAGGAGAATGCTTTTTCGTTCCATTTATAAATACTTTCTATACTGAAATATGCATTACTCAAAAGAACACTTAAATTCAGGCTAGTTCAAAAACCTCAAAGAAAAGTTCAAGATGATTATATTATACATTGTACATATGAAGATAACCATATTATTCACTAAGAGATTAGCAACTGGTAACTTTTCAGCCTGTCTGGCATATTTCTGACAGAGCAGTACTAACTGCTCAATCTACAAGTACTCTTACTGGGCACAAACATTCCTAATGCTTACTGAATTCATAAACTCTGTATACTTGGTACTGGACGGTACTTACTCATCAACAGGTCCTGCATACTTAGGACTTGGCACAAACATAACTTTAAAGTTTTCTGCTTTCCCAATCAGATAATGCATGAACTGATCAGATTGTGTGGAGGCAGGTTTGGTAGTGTACACAAGTTGACCTTCCTCAAAGTGGACAATCAGGGTATTGGGCACGAGTTGGTTACCAAACACACAACGACCCTACAACAAAGCAGAGAACTTTGATCTAAAAAAAGAATGTTAAAACTTAACACAGGATTTATATGATTACTGCAATCTTGTATATCTATCATCTACAGATTTCAGTATTCTCAGATTAATTAAAAACAAAAATTCACTGAAAAATAGAATTAGTTGAATTGATTATCTGTAATATACCCAGGATAAAATTTGAAATTAGTTGAACAGAGATTTCTTGGGATTCTTGGAAATCTTTGAGTCCTGGACTCATTTTGAGACCCAACTAAACCTTGGAATAGGTTTTTTGGACTTGTCAGACAAAAATCCTACAAAAAAAAGTTAAGTGTGACATTTGATCTTATAACCTTGACTGACGACAACAAAGAAAACACATTGAGTTTCAAACTTAAAAAATGTTACAATGTAAGTTGATCTTAATCTGTAGTCAGCTGAGGAGTTCATGTAAATATTTTTTTTGCAATGATATGATTAACAGATGTCTCATGTACACATGGATGCATCAGGAAAGTAACTTACATCCACTATCGTTGTGTAATTTAACAATACTGTATCTACAAAGCACTCTCATGATAACAGACAGGAAATGTAAATAAACAATCAACTCCATTATTGGTTGACTTAACAAATTTTATGACATTCATAAACAGGAAATAAAAATTCAAATACAGTGCAGCTCTGCATTGTTTAACAATACATGTACTTACACAAGAGATTTCTATCTTTGTAACAGGGATCAGGTCCCGCCATAGATGGTGTGTTGTGGAAACTGTTGTAGCAGCCCTTCTCAACAGAAAAAAAACATACAAAATGTAATTTGTATAATGTTTTTAGACAGCAATCAGTGAACAGTATAACTGTTATGAAGTTTCATATTTGTGACCAGAAAAATACCCATAGAACTAGGTTAATTTGTTCTTATTTCCCAGAAAATATATAATATGAAATCATCACATATGTAAGTAGGATGCAAAACAACATTAACTTAGTTAACTACACTGAAATAAATGGATTTCATTTCCTGAAATAGATATATGATTGGTGGAAGAGAAATAGACAGTGACTTTTGGGATGCAAATGCTATCATATTATACTGATTTCCTTCTAGAGATTTGATAGTTCGTCTGTCTTTCCTATGGGACATGCTTCATACATGTTTCAGTCTGTGATACATACTACTACCAACAATTATATATCAGACTCCTTCCATAAAAACTTTTTTTTTCTTATTAAAAAATCATGCATAAATAAGCAAGAACTTCTAGGAGAAAAAAACATAAAAACTCAAGTGGTTTAAACTGACATTCCAAACATACAATTAACTTACTTCTTCTTGTCAAAGTTTCCTTCTGTTTCGTCACTTTCAGTACCAGGGGAGCTATCGAATGTTCCAGTTCGAAACAGTTTCTCCATCTTAGCATAATTTCCAGACCTGTTGTAGACATGGAATTCAAATCCATCCAGAAAAATTGATACCCTTGTTTCAAGATGTGAAAGATCTGTCAAAATAATAAACAAAAACTGTGTTATACAATAGATCTTTTACTAATATCAACTGGTAACCTTACTATAAATTTTGGAAAATGTACTGTGAATATTTGTTTTATTTTAATCCTACAATGAACATCACAAGTAATGAACTGGAATGTAGTAAGTCCTTATCATATTATAATCAAATGGACTTGCTATTTTAAAACCATACTACGCTTAATGATTAGTCTAGGCCTGCACTAAACCCTTAAGAGTATGCATGATTCAGAATACCCTAAAAGGAGTTTGTTTTGACCCTGAATCAGTTCAAATTTGAATCAACATCTCTTTTAGTCATATGTTTCAATTTGACACCTTATATTTCAGGGGTAATTTTATTTAACTTCTAAAATTGGTAATTGTAACCAAAAACAGAAAGTAAATTTTTGATAGAAAATGGAAACCTTCATTGATCTGTTTTGGTGTGTATGTTCTCCACCATTTAAACAATATAAAGCCATAGTGGACCCGAATGGAATAGTCTTCTGTGATGAGATGAAAGTCTCTGATCATCAACTTCCCAGACAGTACAGAAAATGAAAATGAACCTGAAAAAAAGAACAAACACAATTTATAACATGTTTCTATGTATTTCTTATGATTGATAGTCTTTATCCTTGGAGGTTGTAATTTTAATTAACCATTTGTTTGTCTTTAAATACATTACAACAATGGTCGGGTGGTGCAGTGGAAACGCACTCACCTTTCACCTAGCCGACCGGGTTCAATTCCCGGAACGGACGTGAAAAGGTAAGGGGTCACCTGCCTGACCATGTGGGTTTTCCCCGGGTACTCCGGTTTCCTCCCAGAATAAGACGCCTCACACGCTTACATCCGGGCCAACAAGAGTGATTAGTATAAGTTGACATAACTTGTTTCGCAATTGTTGTAAAATAAATAAAGTTTATATTATATATACAACAATCACCCTCTCAATTTCAAAGTGATACCTTATCATTAGGCTGAAAGGAAATTCTTTGTTTATTTAACAAGATTAAGTTTGCCATTTTAGCCTTTCAGCAGACAAGAGGGAAATTCTCATAAGCAGAGGCTAAGTAAAGAGACCTAAATTATCAACTTCTACTTGTGATTAGTTGTAGTTTATAACATTCTATTAAACTGGAGTAATAAATGACAAAATATGTTGTATTTTCAACGCTGCACTGGAGGCCTACATGATGTGTCAGAGAGGCCGCCTATCTAGGACCATAAAAAAGACATCGAGGACAGATAACAGGTAATGTTACAAGCCTGATTTTTGTAATACATTGTATGGTCAAAACTATGTATGCATACTTACCAAACTTGATGTGACCATAGTTGACAAACTTATTGGCTATGGCTGTGACAATGAGTCCTAACACCCGTGAGTTGTAAAAGGTGAGGTATATTACCCATAACTGAGCCAAACCGATCGATGTAAAGAACCAGAACAGTGTTGACTCCGGCAATTCGTTGATCAATCTCTGCTCGATATCATTAATACCACCATCCGTTATGTTGGTTGAGTCAGACATTTTGCCGATGGAGGCTTTCTTTTAATAACCTATCTACCTCATCTCATATCATCGTCTCCATTCCGCGTGAACATTTTCCCTTCTGCAGTCATTGGTCATTGATCCGTCTGTTGGCATACTTAGAAAAAAAGACTTCATCCATTTAGATAAACGGTAGACATACGAACATAGTTTCATCGATTGTATGTTGGTTATGTCTTTAGTTTGCACAATTCTAATTGTACTTTGCAGTAACGTAGAAACATGCGCGGAACGAAACACATTTTTACTCTGCAGTGCTGGTGAAGTTTACGGAAGCAGACATCTTTGATAATCGGAAATAAAGGGTGATAACTCTACCCGAACCAGTCGTGACGCCAGAATCCAGAATAATTTCCGCGGTCCCTATATACCAGTGATATTTCCGCTCCCTATCCCGAAAGCTTGATTAAATAATTGCTTTATTTCCTAATGAAACTACTGCATTTCATCATTTAAAAAGATCTCTGACAGAAATTAATATATTTTTAAAGTTTCTTTGTGTTTACATTTTTGTCACGAACTATACAGTAGGAAAAGAAATAAAGCCATTCATAGTCATTAAATTGCAAAACGAAAAAAGAAATTGTCTTTCCCTGCTTCATTGCCAATATTATATTGATAAGGTAGTGATGTAAAATTAACTTATTTCAGCGCTATCATTTGTCAAAGTTATGATAGGGTGCGTGACTTCACGAAAATACTAGTACATGTACTGTTAATGACACTGTTATTTTCATTGTCTCAAATAATCATTGTTACAAATAACGCACATGAAGGTGCATATACACTTTTACGACACCAACGTTATATATATATATTATTTAAGTTTATTGTAGTGACCGTGACTCGGTGCTATTACTAAAATATTCATTCTAATGAAATTCCTTCGACTCCGCATGAAGTCAGTAATTTGAGGAATTTTAATTAAATTGCGAAAATAGTGTGCACGCACCAAAAAGTATTTCATAATGGCTTACAAATCGTTGATCTGTTGAAAAGAACAAGAATGTATACATATCTCTGTGTGTCTTTTTACACGACACCGAATTTCCTCCGACAAATAAAATTTCAATCGGGGATCATTTGAATATCAATATTGTAATGACAAATCAATATTTTCAATTTATAATTAATTTAACTGTCATCAGTCATAAAACTTAACATAGTGTGGCATATTGATGAAAGATTCTACAGTAATTTTGAAAATTTTCGTGAAATCAAATCAGAAGTGTTTCACAATTAGTGATCTTCTGCCTTTTTTTTTTTTTTTTTTTGGGGGGGGGGTTCTATGTGAACTTTATGCTTCAACCAAAATAAACCGGACACCTGTGTAAACCGACGGTGTATTTCGGACCAAGTGACATCTGGTTTAGACAAAATGATAAGAAACAGTTTAATAATGCATGTTTACTTTAGCTTTTTAGGGATAGCGTATCCGTGGAGGTTACTAGGACAGTAAAAGCTGCCTTCATTAAAACGTCATCTAAATGAAAGATAACTATAACGCTGGTAAACTACTTGCTGCAATATATCGCTCGGCTAGAGAGAGATTCGCTTTAGCTCGATCGGTTTGGAGAGTCAGGCTATCAAGCCAGGGGTCCGTAGCCTGAGTTCGAATCCTGGCGGAGACATTGGGAAAAATAAAGACACTGTTACAATGACGTCTATGTAGGAATTCGGGAATAATACTTAGCGTTATTTTCACAAGTATCGCTTTAATCCGTGAACGATTTGTTCCCTGGCGGGGAAGTTTGTAACACAAACTGCATCTCTTTATTGCGATCGGATGAGGTAGGAGTCCGGCGTTCGAATTCTGGCGGAGGTATTGAACTAAATATTGACCGCTGCTACATAATGTATATGATTCTTAAAATACTTTATGGAGGCGTGCAGTGGAGTTGACTTGGAATATATAACGGAATCATAGTTAATCTATATTGCATTAAAGGAAAGAAAACTGTAACGATGAGTCTTGCGTCCATAATTTGGAAATTGTAATTCATGTCGTCTTTCATCGAGCCATTCTACATTTTCCATTTTCTGGCACAATTCTCCGAAAATATCTGTGCATGTTTCTTGAAAGCATGTTATTTTCTAACTCTCTAAATCATGTTAGAAGTCTATTGATTACTGAGCACCTGTATCAGTTATCGAGATATCCTTGTGATTGACTTCTTATAAAATACGAATGATTGAAAAAAATGATGTATGGTGTTATAGATCATTAGTTTATAAACGGTTACTATGTTTAGCTGGCAGCCAGAGTAATTAAGCTGAAGTGGAATCTTCTTGTAATAGCGCGTAACTGCCTTACTGAACAACATGCGGGATACCGTCCCCTCTCCCACGCTATGCAAACGTATTGGTGTGAAATGTCTTGCGCAAGGACACAACTGTAACATCAATAGGCGGTCAATGTTAACTGGATCACACACGTTGGATTTGTCTATAAGGTAAGTGTATTTCATGAAAATGCAGTTTTTTTATGAGCTATGATTTGAATACCTGAAGTCAAACCACGCAACCTCCATCATTTCGACACTTTCCAACAAGATATTTACGAAGGAGAGTGCCAGATGACCAACGGTGTCAAAAACTACTTAAACGGCATATACAGTTCATGTATCCCTTGGAGCCGCCGGAGTCGTGTGTCACGATTTGGCCGCCTCAGTCCCGTGTGTCACGACTGAGCCGCCGCAGTCCCGTGTGTCACGACTGGGCTGCCATACTAAAACGAGTGAGTGCCAGAATACCAGATAGATTGGACGTTGAGTGCTTGACATTCGTCTTCAAGAGCATGTCCGCATTGGCAGTGAAGGTAATCTAGTAAATATGATCTGAAAAGGTCATTGTTAAAAGTACTAGAATTATATTAGTCTTCCGATTACCAATCATATGATAAGTTGAAACTTGTGCCGGAGTTCGAATAGAATTTTTCAAAACAGAATCAGAAACAATATGTGTAATTTCAAGGTCAAGTTGGTTTCAAAGTCGGATAGTAGAAGGGAATAACAAAGTCTTTTAGTAAAAGGGAAGAACAAAGTCTTTTAGAAGAAGGAAAACAAAGTCGGATAGTAGAAGGGAAAAAGATAAGTTCGTTAGTTGTATTCGAAAAATTGACAAATAATAGTTTTGTGTACTGCAGAGGTTAACTGGCAATAAACTATGAGAGGACAGACAATTAGGACTGGTACTAGCAAGTACCCATCGTCCGCTTTATTTTGCTCTCAGGCAGTACAAGTACTACGGCGGCCCAGTCGTGATACATGGTCTACAGCGGCCCTGTCGTGATACACGGTCTATGGCAGCCCAGTCGTGACACACGGTCTACAGCGGCAAAACGATATACTTGAACTTTACATAAGGTTTATGCAATTAATGTACCGTTTTAAAGCCACGTTTTCACTTGCAAATCAAAGCCCATACCAAATGTACAAAAACACGTCTGACCCATTGTGACCTTGAAAATGTATGGTCATCCATTTGAGCTACTAGTTATGATCTTCCTTCTGAGTAAAGTGCTGGGCTTGGCCATTGGCCCTGTTATTTAAATATCTCTGGAAGGTTTTAGCATATATCACGACATGGGACCCAATAGGTTTGGAAATAGAAGGCATTATCTGAAAAGCCCACTTGAACGAAACCGAAACCTCTTTGGTCCTTGCTCATTATATTGAGCAAATATCATGACATCAGGCCTTTTTGTTAATGAATTTCAGTGTTTTGAAAACGAAACGATTGACCAACGCGACCTTAAAAACGAGTTACATTTGAACGAATTTAAACAGTTTCACTACAGCATACCAATAGTCAAATACACGTATTATGAACCCAGGAATTTTGAGAATTGAAAAGAGAAATTGTTTGGATGATGAAATATATTTCATCCGTGTAGCCAAGTTCATTTATTGAATTGTGTTCAATGAATTTAATACAACTTTTAATAATCCTTTAACTAAGGAATTGGACATAGTAGAGGGAACAGACAAGGAAAAGTAGTCACCAATTCCCGGCTCCCACCCCCACCCCCTACTTCCGGTGTCCTTGCGGCATAGTCCATCGATTACTTGTGTTCTACATACGGTAGTTCTCTTACGATTTTGTTACACAATACTACGGAAACTAGAACAAGACATAAATTGAGTAAAATAGTTCTCACTGGCCAGTATTTCTAGTTACAGAAATGCTGACATCCATGGCTATCACGGTCTTGTACGCGTCCCTTTTTCTCCAATCCCTTTGGATCAGTTGCAGATATGGATGAGGTCGAAAGTATTTATATTCTTGAACTAATATTTTGAAGTCTATGCTAATTAGTTAGCAGTCTCTTCTTTTTTTCGTCCAAATTATGATAAATGTAGATACGTATTTGCAAAACGGGATTTCCCCTTGTATGTTCATAAACGTTAACATCACGTCCTAATATATATACTATTACATGTATATTCGTAATGCATTTATAGAACAATCTCGGTATTGAACACGCGACCCAAGAGGGATATTGCAGTCCAACATTGAAAGATAATCATTGGCTTCATGATTGACGTAATCTCTACTTTTCTCTTATAAATTACATGTTGGCATGTTGTATCGACAAAATTTGAATGTTTTTTTCTTTGGATAATTCCAAGAATTAAATGAGAACATCTTGGTAAATTGGAAGTTTATCACAAGTGCTAGTTCAGAAATGGTTGAAATACACTTCAGTTGTCAATATGGTGGCTGCGTGTCTCATAATTGACCATGTGAAACTCGGAACATATCCCTGACCCCTTAATTCACTGTTCCCGCCCCTTACTCCCGGAGTTCTCGCCTCCCTGACTGTCAGTTCCAATCCCATGTTTATTCTGCTAGCTACACTTGATGATGAATAAATACTACAGTCCGCAACACAACTACGGTTGGTGCATGAGACAGGACCTAGTTCAGGGAGGCCAGGCAAATCTCCAACATAAAAGTTACTTTCTTCCCCATCACAGGAGAGTTCTCTGAGGATGAAACAGCTGAATAGTACAGCTTAATCATTAGTATACCTAGAAATATTTATCTTGTACTTCCAGTATTCCCCCAGGCTGCAACAACTGAATAGTACAGCTTATTCATCAGTAGACCTAGAAGTGTTTAGCTTGTACTTTATGCTATTCAATCAGGTGTCTTCTTAAGAACATCTCCACTCTTTCTCTTCATCCTCCTTACTCCACAGGGTACAATCACTTTCATTCTCTGCAACACTGGAACATCATGTCATGGCAAAATTGAAGGCCCAAGTGAAGTATTTTGATTGGTTCAAAGAGAAAAAAACAGACCAATCACAGGCTGATACCCTCGTTTGAAGATTACAAAGGAGTGACATCCAACTTCAAAGCCCTTACAATACACCTTTATGCAACCTCAAGATTTGTTTGATGGTCATCAAAGAATCTAACTAGTCTTGTCATCTTGTTCACAAGGTGTTGCACACAGAACCTTCAATTTTGACATGACATTTTTCATGGGTGTAGAGAGATAGTGATCGTAACCCCTGCAGTAACCAGGTTGCTCTTTCTAAGGGAAAACATCAATTGAAAAACAAGAGGCCTCAGAGCCTTAACATTTATCTGACAAACCTCTAGACGATGGAACCACTATACCGATTATACATTTGAAAAAAGAAATAGAACTGTTAGGTCAGAACATCCACTTTAGTACCAGCCTGGTTTATTTAAGAAAAGGTTGCCTGCCCCTAGTGATATTTTGGATCAAATGTGGTTGAAATCAGATGTTTAGGAGCAGTATCATTTTATAGCAAACTCGGATAAATTCCTTTTTAGGCTCTTGTCCCCACAGGTTAACCCAGCCTCAATGATTGTTGAAATTATTTTCTTCCCTTCAGTATTCAGAACAGTAGTGCTGAAGGAAAAGTTTAAGGACAACAGACGAAGCATGATGGCAACAGGTCATGGTGACTATACGGGTCACACATATGACCTAAAATCTCCAAAAATTTATTATTCTCACGTTGGTTTCATTTTTTCCTAACAATTCAAAAGATCATGAACAATACCACACAAATCAAAATAAAAATTTCATAAATTTTATTGATTTTTTTTTTCAAAGTATTTTTATTATTTTTAATGGTTATTTACCATGAAACAAGCTTTTAAAATAAGAGATGATGAAGGCTTTGTATGAATCAATGGAACATAGAAACAATATCAACTACCTCTCATTCCATCATCATACACCATCCATACTTTCCACAGACAGATCCACTGTGGTGATATATTTTCACAACTCATTCCACATTTATTTCATTCAAGAATACAGATTTCTATTTCAAATACTCCAGATTTCTTCTCCAAAGCATACCATACAATGACAATTCTTCGCAGTTGCCATGAATCTAGTTTTCATTCGTTTTAAGTCAAGAAATCTATATTCAGTGAACAGATCCAAAGCAGAACTAGGTTCATCCTGAACACCTCTGATTTTACGAGAAAGGGACGAGGTGTTGCGGATGGTATCGGGTTATATTTGTTGCTATGGCTGTATGACCTTCTGATTGCCCTATTTGAACAAAATACAAACAACAGGTGGATGGCTATGAAAGAAAATGGTTCATGACTAATTTCAAACTGAAAAATTACAACATGATTAGTGATCAATGAGTAGATTATGTGATTTTTTTTGCAATTCTCTTTTGATTCAAAATTTATCATTAATTCTCGTTTAGTGAAAAAAAATGAAATAAATGTGTTATTGATGTATTTTCATCAATGATATAAAGGAAAAGTGTAATCACAGAAGATGTGACAGGGTTTTCAAAAAATAGAATTTTGTTAATTCAACCTTGAATATTAACACTTACAGAATGTACCTAAATATTCAGACAGTGCATGGTTTTTTTTCTGATGCCCTGATGTTATGTCCATACTTTTCTAATTTATAAAATTTCTGCTCAGATTTTATCGATAAAAACAGTCTTCATTAGTATAAAATAGCATGCTTTTAAAATATATGACGCATCTAACTTCAAAATTGTTGATATGAAAGCTTTTGAACACTGTTATGTATATTTTTTACTTTTAAGAGAATTTTGAATATAGTAACAAAATTATCTTCAAAAAAACAAAATAGCACATTTGTAAATAAAATAACCACAATAGCCTTACTTTCAAAAAAGAACTTGGAACAAGAGGCAGCATTTGAGCATGAACATTTACCCTCACATTTACCACACAAAAAATCCAGTTAAATGCTTGACTCTCCTTAACAAACATATTATTAATTACTGCACTAGAAAGCTATGAAACATTGAGGTTGTTACGGACAGTCTATCTAGTGTATATACCGGTAGTAATATATAGGGGGGATAACTCTCACAAACTACACATACTAGGATATATGAAACCATAAAACTCATAGCCAAGTACACAAATTTGATACCTCAACAAGGTTTACACTTCAAGTTAAAAGCTTCAGTGGGACCACATAAGTTCTCTTTCTTTTACAATGTCTTTATCATCAAATTCTCTACTCCATAAAACAAATTATTTCTTCAGGGTAAATGATACCTTGATAAACTCCTGCTTTCTGTTAAAAAAAAATCTGAACTCCCTTTTATTTCATTAAAGGCAATATTTAATGATTACAACTTAATAGTACCTGTTCTTGAACAGTGTTTCTTAAGTTTCTCTTTCCAACACACTAGAATGAAATAAAGATCTTTAATCAGGTAGCATATATCCTTAAGTGATAATACTCCTATAAGCAAGTTTCTTGACTAAAGAAGATAACAATTCACTTAAATTTTAATGTGAAATTAATTGTTTACATCTGAATCCATATCCTTGTATGCTTCTTTATACATGTTGATGACATTTCTATCTGACTGAAGTAATTACAGTATATCATTACATTTTCTGTAACTGAAGCACTTATCTAGCAATGTCATGCTTCAATTGTACATTGACAACCTTCAATCACTACTTCCTATCACATAAAAACTTTGGCAGCAAAATCATTTTTGATTAAAACAAATCAGTGCAATACAACGAAAATGAAAACAAAACAGGTAACAATCACCTGTTTATAATTAAATGAGGTCAAATGAAGGTTATGACACTGATAAAATGTCATTAGATTCAAAACGCATTTGTCAAGCATTTACATGACATTGATAAAATGTCATGAAATTTCAAAACATAACTGTCAAGCATTTACACGAAGCAGCTAAAATCAGCTACTTATATTATATTAAAATGATTTTTGTTTGTATAAAACTATACAATTTGAAACTTGGACCGACATATATTACAAAATCTACAATAATGGGAACATACAGAGCAGACACTATTCAACACATACATAAACATAGACTTTCAGAATAATCACAACCAGTTAATATAGCAAAATAAATTATCTTGTTCAATCAAATGTCCACACAACTATTAAATGTCTTTAAGACTTCCCTTCTCACATCACAGTTAATCTAGCTACTTTTCTCTCGCACACGCTCCCTACAATCTAACACCTAGCCGGGTATCACCATAAGAGCCTGGGTTGGCAATCTTAGCACAATTGTAACATATTGTTCATCTGCAGATGATTAATTGAACAGGAACAATGTGGTATTGTACTATGACAATCCGTAAAACTGCTTAAGAAATTATCCAACCTCCCGAATTCCAAGAAGCTGACTTTTCAAAATCAATATTGTTTGTCAATGTTAAAATCACTGAATGAAGCAAATTAAACACTTTCTTTCAAAGTTGCCAAAAAATCTCAGACAGTAACTCTATTTCTACTGTTGAATGCTAATTCATAAAAAATTTTGATGTTCTTTAAGTGCTGCATAATTTCTACATAGATATAAAAAACAATGTTTCATACATAGCATTACAATTTGTCATGAACAGATATTGTCTCTTAATGTTTAAGTAAATGAGAAATCTTTGCACTTATCGTTTAAAAATAGTTTCATTTCATTATCAAATTGGACATTCAAAGTCATGTAACATGTTGAATTAATCAAGTACAACAGACAAGGGAGGTAATAATGGATGAAACAATATCTACGCATAGATAAACTAGCCATTGTATTTAACATATTATAATTGTGACACACAACCACTAACACTGCAGGAAATAATGGGCAGAACTACACGAGATTCAACACATAGCTATTGCAGATTGAAAACAAAGACTGAATTTTCTTGTGACAACAAAGTAACAATGTTTTTCTGGTCATGGATAGATGTGTAATGCTACAGTTGATACTAACAGTTAACAGCCTGTAAACATTTAGAAGTGAAATAACCTTAAAATCATTTCACACTGTCTGAGAATACAATCTATTAGCACCACCTAAATCAAAGGTTGTTCTGTGAATTGAGGAAAACCTTTTTTTCAATAATTAAAACAGTAAAAATCATATTTCTTTCTAATTAAATACAAACTAAATTTGAAATGATGGCACAATTATGGAAATGTGATAATATAAAATCTACATGGTGACCACTCCGGCCCAAATGTCAAAGGTCACCATCATCAGCTAGAGGCCATTGTCATGGAAACACAAATATGCGATGTAATCAAGATTAATAATCTTTATCATTTGATGATGATGAACAAAGCTGTTGGGGTGAAATCTGTAATAAAGCACCTGTTATCAAAGAGGCTGTAAGAAATGTAAGTATGTATGACTGCCCCTTGTGATGGCTTGGAGAGGGGGGCAATATTCCCTGATGTAGAAAGGCAATTTCTCCCTCACACACTCACATTATAATTTGTCAGGCTATCAGACACAGTCCTTGTAGTTTCTGATCCCAAGATAAATCCATCAATCATTAAGAAAGCAACATTACACGACTGTGTGTAGTTGTTCGTTATTTAACGGTGTCATTTCATCAGCACTCTCCTCCTCCTCACTAAGATTCACTTCACTGTCCTCAATCTCACAAAGCCCGGAAATGTCTGAGCACGAGGCATTTGTGGAGGTGTAGCCTCCCACTGACACACTCATGTTGTCAATCATAGAAGCAGCCGACTGGCCATAGTCTGGGTTGTACTCAGTTTCCTGGGCAGCTCGGGGTCGCCTTCCCATACTGCTGGAGGGGAAGCCATATTGTACAACACTTTCATTGTCCTCAGTATCACTTGCGTCACTAATTTCCACCTCGGGGTACGTTGGTGGGTCATGATTCGTTTCCCCAACCTGCTCGCGTGACTGACTGAAACTGTGATTAGGGAGATATTGGTCTGGGTGCATGTGTAAGTTGTGTTGTGGAAGATGGTAGGGATCTTCTTGCCCACTGCCCTGCTCATCAATCTCGGGGAAAGGAGGCAACCCCAAGATCTGGTGGTAGTCAGGGGGACTTGGGTATCCATGGTCATCAGTGTCATATTCATTCTCAGCATACTCTGAATCTCCAACATACTCAGACTCCAGGAGTTCAGGGTCAGTGTACATGCCACCACTCTCTGTCATACAGGGTGGAGGCTGCATGAAACTGGACACATGGGTGTTGCTATCATTACTATGGGGACTAGATCTAGGGGAATCTGGGACCTCCTTCATCGGTACTTCGCTGATGTTGGGGAGTGAAGGTCGCGGGGCCCAGTCAGAAGCATCCCAGTGATAATCTGTAAGACAAAATAAACACATATTGTAGTTTTATACAGAATGAATAACATTTTCTACAAACACCCAGCAATTGTGTGAAGCCTTTATCATAGTGTGGTGAATGCTCCCGTTACCAAGGTCAAATGGTATGAGGTGATTTAGCTGATACTTAGCAACTGGCACTAGCAGTCGTACCCAACAAGCAACAGGACTATGATGAGTTCATTAAGTCTATAAATTCTGAATAAATGAAAGAACTAACTGGACAATCACTTTTCTAAACCAAATGGAAACTAAACTTAATTCTGTCTCATCAAATCAGAAGATATTTCTTTTCATGAAAGGTCTTTGATGTTCAAGAATAAAGTGATATAAAGAATGCCAATCCCTATCTGAAAACACTTTTATATGTCAAATATATGTACCAAAAATGCATCAAAATGTTCCAGATATTTGTACCATCATTTTTACATGCATCTCCTATAACAAAGATGCATAGTAATGTATGTTGTTCCCTGCACCATTATAATAAAGGTCATTCGGTGCATATCACACAAATTCTATGTACATGATAAAGTGAAAGGCCACAAACACCCCATCTCACCACAACATTCTAAAGACTACAATCACTACTTACTGAAACAAAGAGTTCGGTCACATACACAACCAGTAAAAGTAAAAGGAACTGAAACCAAACATAAACTCAAAATTGAAATGGGAAACCTGTAAAATGGAATCGAAGAGACATTTTCTCATCATGGTTTTTATTTTCCCACAGATTCGACAAGAGCTGATTGAATACTGTTTTTAAAGTCATCAGAAGGGGATTTACAAAAACATTTTTATCTCACTTTTTTAATCAACTGTAGAAATGCAAAAAGTGTTTGATTTAATTCCGTATTTAACATCCTCACCACAGATATATTTGAGGTTTTTAAACAAGTTCTGCTGTTGAAATTTCTGATCTGAATCAGTAAACATCTTATGGGTCTGAATCAGTGTTTTCCAGTCTGTGTAAGAGTATAAGAACCATGAAGATAGAGTATGAGCTTAGCCATGCTTTGCTAGGCACCACCGTACATATAGCCATAGTCCAAGTAAAGCTGGGCAAGGTAAGACAGACCTGTACACCTGGCCAATATAGGGGTTCAGAAACACTAGAACATGTATAAAAGTTATATGTAACAAGGATAACATAATATGTACAGTATCATTAATGGATAGCTCAGAATACCTCATATTAACCATTTCATATGCCAATATGAGTAAACTGTCTTTTCATTGGCCAGGTGTGAGATGTCATGACCCTTAGGGATGCCCATTGTAATTGTACCATAGATCACCTTACAAAACTGTAAATTTTTAAAAATTGAAAAAATGTCATTTCACATGTGAATTTAAAGATATCTGCATCGTAAAATATCATATGTCAAACCTAAGTAATACTAAATGGAAATGAAATACGGCCTTAACCTATTTTTTATTCTCTATCTATGTCGGTAAGTATCTCTCTAGAGATAAAATGTGATAACATATATTCCAAGCAGAAGGTAAAAAGTTGACTACTACTAGGATATTAACCATTTAAAAGTTTAAGCTAGGCACTTATATACTTTTAGATTTTACAACATCCACTTAAATCAGTATCTTAACTTGCACATCTGAATCTGGTATTTAACAGGATAAAGATTCTTGATTCTAGATATTAAGGTGATTCATGGTACTTAAATTCTCAATAAACAGGGAGACTGCAACCTTAAAATGATAAATACACATTCCAAGATAAAAGATTAAAACCTTGCATAGAATCAATATTGATATTATATAACAAACATGCTATAATCACATTGAAAAAAATTCACATGATGACGACTAAGTTAAAATTGAACACAATAGATAAAACAGCCTAAATGACGACTAGAAAGCAGTTTGCATTTCAGGATGTTCAGTGTAATTGTGATATATTTACAAAATGTTAGGTTGTTATTCTGCGAGTGTTAATGTTATTTACAATAATTGTGTCAGTTAAAAGCCTTTGCCACACCAAATACATACACAGTTCTTTGGGGTTTTTTTTCTTGTTTTACACAAAACAAAATAATCAAAAGAATGCTACTTTTATCTATTGACCCAAACAGTTTATAAAGGTAATATTTTTAAATTGAGAATTATAAATCATAAAAACTGACATTGATTTTTTTGTCAATTTATCGACAAAGAACTATGAAGAAAGGTGTGTAATTTTATTGATTTTTAAGCATTGATTTGTAATAATAAACTCTGAAGATAATAAATTGCTGTATAAAAGGAGTTCTATCAGTAATCCTAGTTAAATTCAAAATCTATAAAAGTGTGCAGACTGTCAAGGACATAACAAAAATGAAGCATAGCAGGAATATATTATACCATATGATTTGAAAAATTTCTGAAAATGCCTGTGGTTAAATGTTTGTACAAACCTAAACTGCTTTCTAGTGGTGGCTATAAGACAATTAAACTTAAAAACCAAGTAATTAAAAGTAATCTGATTAAAATGATAACGAGGGATACATTTAATAAATATATGTATATATAGAGGGATACATCAATTATACTGATAAAGGTGGCCATGCTGTTTGACTGACGTAGCAGATATAGTGTCTACCTTTGTTCTTCTTCCTCCTAGCTGCTGTGCAAAGAAAGAGTCATGATTAACAAACCTGGGCACATGTATATGAATCTGCTGCACGATATTTATGGTATTACAACAATTATGGTAATGAGTGAGAATCCCCCGTGTTTATATACCCACGCTCTGTGGATTGTGAACAACATCAACACCACAATGTCTCATGCATACAACCTGTATTTCACACGATTATATTCCACCTCAACCATTCCAAAATAATAAAAGCAAAATGGAGGAAGATCTAGAGACACCATTCTATTCTGAAACAATCGAGGATATTTGATGACAGAGTTTGGATTTCCTGACTAGTGTATATTCTGTCACATAATAAATTTTGAGATGTCCAAAGAAGTGAGAACTTGTGCTATTAACCTTTGAATATTATTATAGGTTTGAATTAAAACAAATGAAATGAGATTTCAAATTCATGTAACTTGTCCTAACTTGAGATTTTCCTGCATGAAAACATGATCAAACATTATGTAATCATGACGACTTCACTAAAGATTATCAACTATCATTAAGAGATATTGTATGGAACAAGATAACTAGAGTACCACGGAGAGAGGTTTTCTTGATGAAAGATGATGACGATGATAATGAAGATGGTATGACAAATATGGTGCTGATGGTGTTAGGCATGTTTCTGATGAATATCTCTTGACCACTTCCGCAGCGCAGCACTCAAAGCATGTTTCATATATGCACAACACACACACAAAAATATGAAATAATACTTCTTTGTTTCGTTTCCTATCAAAGTCTGTTGTGTAAATCTCTCTCATTCTAATGTTTAAACATCTTTAATCATGGTTGGACACAGTTTCATTTAATGTTTTTTCTTGTTATCCATAAGAAACAATTATATCTTATGTTCATGTATATTGGATCTAGCTGAATACGTTGGCACAGTCTTCTGCGTACTGGTCTCTCTACTTAGAACACACTATGTCTTATATCATTGGTCTTGTCAACTAGTTTTTTGGCAATTCCTGGATAGATTGACTGCTTATCAGACCTTCACATCTCATATATACATTCTTCAGTACTCCTTCAAAATTTCGTAGAATTATTTAAATTTTGCTGGGTTTTTTTATTCATCTTTATAAACTACTACAGTTCAAATCGCACTTCAATTCTAAAACCATTTTTACCTTTTTTTTTTCAATTTTCCTGGTAAGATTGATAAGTGGAATTCTGATACAGTCAATGTTTATTGGCCAACAAAATGAGACAAAGGATATAAGACTAATAGATATTATACCACCGTCACCAACACCTAACTACTCAATGGTAATGTTTTAATACCAGGAGATATATGCTGAGAAATTTATACAGAAAAATAGTTATTACACCCAAAGTAGCATGTTAAATCATAAACACCACTAAAAAATTATCCCTTTATTCAAATATCTATATTATAGACCAAACCAGAAGAAATTAATGCATTTATTAAGGAAATATCTCAAATTTGTCCCTCAAGAAATCAATTTATTATGTACCTGGTTCATCTTCTGACTCAGACACAGGTAAACTACTGAATGATGTTGCATCTGGTCCCATCGGATGAGCATATCGTGGAATACCACTAAACTTCTCAGGATGTTTCTTTTCTGAAATTTTAAAATGTATCACATACAATACATGATTTGTTATCAATGATTAATCTAATTTTAACCCTTGAATGACCGACTGAATTTCATAACTGGACAAAACATTGACAGGATGTAATTGTGCAATTTTCAACATGGCAATTTGAATTCCATAGAGGGAAATTTGTTCCAAATGGTCATTAAGTAAAATTTGAATTTTAAGATGTGGCAATGATGAGGGAAAAGGGGGTTTGAATATACATTTATGTATTTCATCACAGGGGTCGTAATCCTACAAAAGTTGGTAATAAAGACATGAGGTTTGAAGTAAAACGTAACTGTTATGTCTGTTTCTTTGACTCACCTTCATGGTTCTCCAGCATGTTGGGGAATTCATTCTCCCAAGGCACCTTCTGTATGGACTCGGTGTCGGAGGGAGGGTTTGAAGGAGGAGGTGGAGGGAGGGACGGAGCCATGCTGGCCGTACTCCTGGGGGGAGGAGGAGCAAAGGTCTGGAAGTAGTGATCATGGTATGGAATGTTAGTGTGGCAGTTTTCTAGGTCGTCAGCTGCACTTCCGTAATTTCTGACGGTGTCAAAGTTGTTGAGAGTGTTTAAGGATTCAGCATGGTTACTAGGTGTGTAGGACACCGGCCTGTTAGGGACTGGAGGTGGACGCGGGCTTGGTGGGATGTTCTGCATGTGTAAGGATGGTAGGTCAAAAGAGCTGACTTTGCATTTTTTATCATCTTTCATCCCTCGTAACATCATGTCTCTCTCCTCACTGTTGTGCCTATTACCGTGACCTCGGCGACGGCTATTCCTACGACGGTAACACTGGATCAGTACAAACAGGAAGGCTAGCAGAATCAGTGCTACAGCAACACCTGGAAAGAATAGTACAACTGTACAGAAACTGGAGTTCTTATCTTGAAGAGATAAAATCTTCAACAATGAATGGTATATTTTCAGCTCTTCAGCATCATGTTAACCAAAGGTCTTGATTGAGACAGTTTTATTAGAGGTAAATTTGAACACATTTTAAATGTCATGTTTGCTAACTGGAAACCGTTGGAAACTTACCAACAATACCAAACAGAGTCTCCTGCGTGATTCCCGAAGAGTTGGAGCTGATATCAGGGACAATGATATTCTGGCAGTGGTCACCATTCCTTGTGCTGGTACAGTTACAGATATAGGTGGCTTCAATACTGTGGCACATGCCACCGTGGAGACAAGGGTTGTTGCGGCATGGATTGACTCTTGTTGTACACAGTGGACCTACATAAAGAAATAGGAAATTCTATTAATCAAATGATCTAATCAAACCATGGGTAGGGGTAACAGAAAAGCACCATAACGCTGATACAGTTGACTTAAGAGATAAGGGAAAGAAGTTCTGGGAATGGTTACCTTCAAATCCTGTCTGGCAAATACAGATGGCACGGTTTGGGCCTTCCACACATGTGCCTCCGTGTTGACAGGGGTTAGGAATACAGTGTTGGCCGTACTCACAAAGCTTGCCCTTCAGGTCCCCGGGACATGAGCACTCAAACTCATTGGGCATATCCTTGATGTTCTGACACCGGGCTGTAAGAAATTTATAGGAAAACTGACAGTGGCAATATTGAAATTTTGGGAGGCAGCTCTACAACATTTAATCTAGCCCATTCATTTGTTTGTAACCTCTTACTTATGAAAGAAATAAAAATATAAACAGTTGATTGAGAAGCCATTATTTTTTACTTGTCCCTGGCAAGTGTGGTAATGTTTAACTCATACTTGTCCAAGTACAAAATTGATTATGTTTTGTTAAATACTGAATATTTATCTACAAAACTGGTACAGAAACAAGCCATTTTTACAAGAACAAGAAACAAGATGGCTTTGAATAATTATCACGAAAAGATTTGAAATTTACCATTATTACGACATGGTGAGTTGGCACAAGGGTCCGAGTCAATCTCACACTTTGCCCCGTAGAATCGGTCGGGACAGACACAGATGTAGGAATTGATGCCAGAGTTCTGACATGTGCCACCGTTCATACAAGGAAAGGTGCTGCAGATATCTGTAGGATGAAGAGCAGTAAAGCTTTAACATGAACCACACGACTGTAAAGCTTTAACATGAACCACACGACTGTAAAGCTTTAACATGAACCACACGACTGTAAAGCTTTAACATGAACCACACGACTGTAAAGCTTTAACATGAACCACACGACTGTAAAGCTTTAACGTGAACCACACGACAGTAAAGCTTTAACGTGAACCACACGACTGTAAAGCATTAACATGAACCACACGACTGTAAAGCTTTAACATGAACCACACGACTGTAAAGCTTTAACATGAACCACACGACTGTAAAGCTTTAACATGAACCAAACCACTGTAAAGCTTTAACATGAACCACACGACTGTAAAGCTTTAACATGAACCACACGACTGTAAAGCTTTAACATGAACCACACGACTGTAAAGCTTTAACATGAACCACACGACTGTAAAGCTTTAACATGAACCAAACCACAAAGCTTTAACATGAACCACACGACTGTAAAGCATTAACATGAACCACACGACTGTAAAGCTTTAACATGAACCACACGACTGTAAAGCTTTAACATGAACCACACGACTGTAAAGCTTTAACATGAACCAAACCACTGTAAAGCATTAACATGAACCACACGACTGTAAAGCTTTAACATGAACCACACGACTGTAAAGCTTTAACATGAACCACACGACTGTAAAGCTTTAACATGAACCACACGACTGTAAAGCTTTAACATGAACCACACGACAGTAAAGCTTAAAGCTTTAACATGAACCACACGACTGTAAAGCTTTAACATGAACCACACGACTGTAAAGCTTTAACATGAACCACACGACTGTAAAGCATTAACATGAACCGAACCACTGTAAAGCTTTAACATGAACCACACGACTGTAAAGCTTTAACATGAACCACACGACTGTAAAGCTTTAACATGAACCACACGACAGTAAAGCATTAACATGAACCGAACCACTGTAAAGCATTAACATGAACTAACTGACTTTGCATAGAGAACTGAATTTATTGTTTCACCTACCATAAATGACACTTAAGCAGCTACTGCTCTGTTTAAAATTACCAAGAAATATTTTAAGTTTAAAAATACTTTGTCAGAAATCTTACGACATACCACATTTCATCCTTAGTAGACTGCATCTCAAGACAATTTGTAAAAAACTTACTTGTGCCATCAATTCCTGCAGAACTGTCTTTACAGTGAAACTGCACTTGTTTGAACTCCTGGCTAGCAACGACAGCATTGCTACCCTCAAACGGAAGTCGAACACTCCACAGTTTTACATCCTCCATGCACCCCTCAAAACCTCGCTGCACTGTGTTGCGGTAACCTTGGGCAACGACCTCAGCACCAAAGTAAACGTCCTTGGTATTTAGGTTGATATAGTCGTTGACTCCTGGAGCGATGTCCATGTTGGAGAACTCTCCATCCAGGGACACCTCTGCCATACGGCCACGCCTCTCAAGGCTGATGGTGTGCCACTTACCATCATTGATGTGTACAGGGATCTGGACCAGGCCGCGACCACTGCCACAGTCAAATTGGTACTGAACCATGCCATTGAATATCTGAAATGATGAATACACTTGCCTGAAATACTAATCTACAATGTAGACAGGAAATTACGATTCTAGTAGAACACTTACCCTATATAAAAACACATAGACACATTCTTGTGTCATATCAGTAGTCTTTCAAGATACATCTCTGTTTTATACCTATCAACGAAAGATTCTAATGGGTACATTTAATTACAAAACATACTTTCTTTCTGATGATAAAATAAAAAACTAACAACTGTATGGTATGTGTTAAAATTTTTTAACATTTACAGGAAATCTGTTTAGTAATATTTCATGTTGTTCTCTAAAAGATATTCACTAAGTGCCTTGTTTGTTGTACGCTCTATTTGTTTCTTGTTTGTTTACCTCTAGTATGCTGTAGTCAACATTGCCCTTAGCAAACATAATGTTGGCTGTGGATCGCCGCGTCTTGATTCTTAAAGACAGACTTAGTCGCTGCTCTATACTAAAGGCATCCTGCAGAGTCCACTTCGCGTAACTCTGGCCCATGAATGTCATAGGTTTATTTCCTACAACACAACAGATTAGATATGTTTCAGATTAAGGATATACTGCTAACAATTGCAATCAATGAAAATTTATTGGAAGATTAAAATGAGAAATGAATGACACTTCAACGAAATATTTATGAAATAGAGTAGAAAGAGGTCAACATGCAGTTTTACTAACCTGAGTAAAAAGACTGGAGAGTCTAGAAATGTGAGGTCAACAACAGATTTTACTAACCTGAGTAACAAGAGAAGTCGGTACAGATCTCTGGTTCCTGTGATTCGGTAATACAAGGCTGCCCTGGAAGGCACTGGCTTCCAACCCTCGGACTCTCACATGATGGACCTGCACAGATAACCAGGTAAGTTATTTTCTAGGACATTGGATATTTACAATAGTGTTGATGCTAGGTAAATCTGCTCTAACAGAGATATTGACATTCTATGTAAGTGTATATCCTTTAATCTACTCACCTCTAGACTGGTCAGTACACACACATTTGTGGGTATAGGAATGTCGCGCTGTAACAAATGTCCCCACATCCATGACAATAGGTGTCTGACTTTTCTTTTCGAACACCAGCTCTCCCACACATTTGCCGTCTGGACAAAGGTCACCATGGCAGATATCATTGAACACATCGATGATGGTGACCCCAAGTGTCTGTTCTAGATCTCCAGTCATTTGCATAATCTTCTTCCTCAACAACTTACTGGAGTAGTAGTTATTGGGACCTCTCTTGGCAGCAAACAGAACATCAAGATCAGAACTTGTGTCTCTTCTCCTCCGAGCTTGGCCGTCAGAAGCCTGACTGGGCTGGACATTAATGATCTGGACATCACGTTTCTTTATACCAAGCCTCTTCCTGACAGCTTTACGGAAATTATTCTGAAAATGTTGTATGAAGTCTCGTGGTGTGAGGTTCTGCAGCTGGATAGTCACAGCATTGTTCAACATCTTTTCTGTGATGGCTACGACATCAATGTATACTAGGCCATAACTGACGTAGTGTCCATCAGTAACACTGACATTGACAAGGTAATCACCCGAATCTAGTCCCTCATAAGCCACCAGTCTCCCATCATCCTTATCAATATCAAAAAGATGGCGATTCTGTGAGACAACTTTATATGTGAGAATATCAAATCTGTCCATGTCTGTGGCCTCGAGTCGACCAATCAGGCCTCCAGGAAACGTGTCCATGTAGGAGTTAATGGTGATCTCAAGGTTAGCTACCTGAGGAGGGTGACTGCCTTTTTCTGTTACAGTTATTGTAACTGGTACATCAGTGTACAGTGAAGGATAGCCGTTGTCAAACACTCGCAAGACTAGCTGGTACAGACTCTTTATGTTGTGATTAAATTTACTGGCTGTAGTCAAGACTCCCTGCGAGTCCACACGAAACTCTCCTCCCTCGTTGCCGTTAACAATATCATAAGTGAAGGGTTCTCCGTTTGGATGAAGGTCGTCATCAGTCACCAGGAAGCCGATGATGTCATAACCAATATGTATATCCTCCTGTTTAACATATTACACCATTAGTAAATATATAGCAAATTCAATATATGTAACACAATTTGATCAATTCAGAAAGTAATCAAGAATAGGTAAAACGTATGTCTGTCCCTCTCTAGCAGCTATGTAAAATATTAATCACCAAAGGATCGCAACATTAACAACCTGACACTCTCTCTTGTAGAATTCTAGACATTCAACAAAATTTATATCAAGGCAGAAAGAATCTCACAGGGGACATACCTCTCTAACATATCTCAAGGATAAGACTATCAATGCTCAACTGGTATACTGAAGTACAACATCCTGAAAATGTCTTATTACTGAGTGGCTGTTTATTGGCTGTTTAAACTTCAGTTGAACATCGAAAAAAAAAAGATCTCTGGTAAAAAATAAGAGGTACTACGCTCTTTATATGAATTTTTAACATTCCATCATGATAAATATAAAAGCGTTCTTCTTTCAAAGCTAAGTGATATCATACTCTTTTTCCAGTTTATATAGTATCCAAGGTCTGTGTGATATTTTCTAACTTTACTCATTTGACAGCATGCTGTCCTACCAGCTTCAATATTATGCATGCTTTAGATTGAAACAAACACCTAAACTACATTTTAATTAACCAAAATGCTTACAAGTCACTCACACTCTCTCCCATCATTCTCACTGATACAATGAGAAATTTGTTTCCTTTACAAACAGAAATGAGAGATTTTTAACAATTTTAAAACAAATAATGGAATTCATTGAATTCTTGTATATGCAAATTTAGAACATTGTTCAGCTTTTCATTGGTACAGTACATTTATGAGACCTATTTGGTTGAATGTGTTTTAGATAAAAAAGATTTCTTAAAACTTTCTGGTTGATAAAATCTTATTCTAATTTCTTTGATTTGTTTTTATACAAATTTTTCTTCAAAGTTCTATTCTGAACTTTTTTTATGATGTATGTGTCTGAATACATGAATATAATGACATCCTTAAGCAAGCAAACACGATTATATTTTGGGAATGAATACAGCAAATTGATTTTGTTAAATACTTGTCGACAAATACATTGTACTAAGTATCATTAAAACAGTTTTTAACATGGTGCATATGAATGAGAGTATAAAGATTTACAGAATATTGATATAAACGACAAACAACATCAGACAAAAAACATATTTAGACACAGATACAATTAGAGAGTGAACGAGACGAAAACAAGCAAGCAAATTAACGACAAATCATAACAATGACAAATATAAAAAGTGTTGTCTCTTGAACTGATAAACTTATAAATATTTATAATCTGTCTATACATGTATTTATATATATTCCATACACAATATAGTTGTATATTAATCACAAAGTTTAGTCAAAGCACTGTTTTTTCTTTTGGCAGATATGATAGTCTACTATATGTATATATATGAAATTCTTTTGAGGGGTAAAAAACATTTGTCAAAAAATTTATGTCTTGGAGACAAGACAGACAGGTACTAAATTTTGTAGCGATGTGTAACATTCTACACATATTCCTGTTACGGGATATAAAAAAAAAGTTGTTATCATACATGTTTATTCGGTAATAAGCCCATGTCTAGAAATATGATAATCCCAGTGTAAACAGATATATCTGTTTAACTTATTCCTGGTCCAAGTTTATGCTAACCCCTGTATTATTTTGATGGAAAGAAAATGAAAGATTCCAATTCATTTTTAAGTATTTCTTTTGTTTTGAAGGGTTCTTTTTAATCTGATATCCTACCTAAAGACATACAGATTAATCCCTATAGATATATATCTACCCAATATCACCACGACATTTTACCAATAGAATATGGTGACTTAATTGACTTTGAAAGTTCAGTACAAGATCAAGAGATGTCTCCAATTATTTATGTAACATTCTGTAGTATTTTTATCATATTAGTTACTGTGGCTGTTTCAAAAATGCAAAAATAAAGAAATGTTGACGGAAGCGCTCCAACATAAGACATGCCTTGCCCTGATAACAAGGCAGGAAACTGAATACATGCTGTGAGACAGAGTTTAAAAATTGCAAGTTTTCTTGAATAACAAAAGTCAACTGAATATTCTGATAACTAAATCACGATGCTGGAGTGACTTACGATGCCTTGAGGAGGACGCTGTGTTGTTGAATCAACAAATACATTATATTTTACAAGCACCTCGGCAACCATGTCATTGAAAATGATACACTATATCTTACAAGCACCTTGGCAACCATGTCATTGAAAACAATATATCATATCTTACAAGCACTGCAGCGACCATGTCATTGAAAATAATACATTATATCTTACAAGCACTGCGGTGACCATGTCATTAAAAACCTTATCGGGTATGACTTTACAATTTCTATTCAATTATATGATCTCAGTCTGGAATTTACAACAATGCCTTATCATAAACATGTATTACATTCAAAGAAAAACAAAACAATATTATATAGGTAAATCTGAATGTAAATAACTCTTTTGACACAATCAGGCACAAGGTCTTATTCCTATATACTGCGATAACTCTGACACAGGTGAAAGCTTGTGTCCTAAAAGAACATTTACCAAAGTTTTTCTGTGGAAATATATGTCACTGCTGATTTGATCATAATTCTACCATAGTAAATATATTAAAAAATTACTAAAAAGACAAGATAGAACTAAATCCTGCTTCATCTAATTCATAAAGCTTTGTGAAGGAGTGTAATACTGCTGCTGGGATGGAAGCCATAGATCATCTGTGAAATACGCCTATCAACAATGCAAAAGCTGTGAAACAATTCGCCAAAATCTTGTTATTTCAAACTATAATTTATTCCTTCTAAAAGTTTGTCATCAAATTTAAAGCTACAGACGAAACAAATGCTTTGTCTTTAGCCATGCCATTAGTTTTGATTATCTAAATGAAGTCTTTCAAGACTTTGGTACCTTTTATTCTGAAAATCTGCTGCCAATCATAACAACCAGCAGAACATTGCTTAAATTCATTGTTTCCAATACAGACTTAAACCAGAAAAAATAAATGCTGCTGTTGATTATCTTCTTTCCCATAATAATGCTGAATTCGATGGAATATGGATTGATTTACAAGAAGTAAGAAGGTATCTTACCTGTACAACAGCTGTGTAGTTGTCCTCTGAAAAACGTGGCGCACAATCATTTGCATCTATGATGTCCACCTGGACAGAGGCTTCAGCAGTCATGCTGGGTTGACCACCATCTGTAGCCTTGACCATCAGGACTATTCGAGACAGCTGTAATAGAAACAAAATCTTTTATCTCAACTCAATGGGGTAACAGTGATGACTTTGACCTAAATTATATGAAAGTAGCTATTGCTAATGTGAAAGAAACTCTTCTTGTATTAAACAGTCAAACCTGTAGTCATTTTTTTCTTCTTTTTTAAAGTTTTGTCTACATATATCACGGTGTATCTAAAAATAAACATTGAAAATGTTGTGCTTTTAAAATGAAATCCATATAGAGAGAAACCTTTAATCTGTCAATTATAACATAATACGGTAGAAAGTCCTCCAAACAATTCTTGTCCTTTTATCTTACCGATTCTCTGTCTAATGGACTCTTGATTCGGATAGTGCCATCCTTGGCATTGATTTCAAAGTTGTCCAGACGGTCACCATCTGATATTGAGTAGGTCAGCAGTGAGTTAGGAGGACTGTCTGCATCACTGGCGCTAACCTGGTGTAATCATGAAATAATGATATCAAAAATTTTAAAAATACACCAAACATCTTCTGGAGTGTTTTAAACAAATTGGTCCATAGTTTTTAACCTCTTTTGCACTTTAAATAACGTATTTTAGACACACGAATGTTTATCAATTAATTACAAGATGAACACAATTTTGTGGATTATTTCAAGATAAAAGAATGGAATAGCAAATGTTTTGATTACCTTAACAACGATGGAGGCCACCTTTTCTGATTCATTAACCCTCACACTGTAACTGGCCTGTGTGAAGACAGGTGAGTTGTCATTAACGTCGGTCACATCGATGGTAACATAGGCAGAGCTACTAAGGGGCACAACACCACGATCACGTGCCACAATGGTAAGAATGTACTGGTGAGCAGCCTCGTAGTCCAGCTCTCCAAGGACATAGATAGAACCTGTGTCTGGATTGAGGGAGAACTTTTCCTGTTTGTTACCGCCTACAATAGTGTAGGTCATCACTGCATTCTGTCCAATATCTTTACTCGTAGCCTGAACCTGTGTGACCCACGTTCCGGCCTTGACACTTTCAGCCAAAGTTTCACTGTAACTGTTGCGGACAAACTCAGGAGGGTTATCATTTTCATCTTGCAGCAGGACACGTAGGACAGTTTCAGAGGACAGACTTGGTGTTCCTTGATCATTAGCCTGTAGGACAAGTCGGTAGGACGGCACCATTTCCCGGTCAACACGCTTCTTTAGCATCAGTATTCCAGTCTCTGTGTCTACAGCAAATGTACCGTTTCCATCATCTGTTAGGCGGTACTTCACTTGGCGGTTTATACCTGTAATAACAAATTTTAAACCTAAGAAAACATTCTAAATAGATATTAAAATTTTAACTAATATATGTAAGTCAAAAATTAATGTTTTAACTGAGGCCTCCCTATAATCTTCACTCCCAAATCCACAAGAAGATGTGTCAGATTTGACAGGTTTTAGTAGCAAAGTCACTAATCAGATACCATGGTATACATAGGCAAGTAACATACCCAAATCAGCATCTTGAGCTGTCACTCTTATAAGCAAGGTGTTGATATCTGCTGACTCGGACAACAAGAAATCTGTTGGTGCATCAACAAACTCAGGCCGATTGTCATTGACATCGCTGAGTTGTATGAAGACCTGGGTGTCACATGACCTCTGGCCCCCATCCACAGCACTGACCACTACATCATACTTGGATACCTCTTCTCGGTCAAGACTTTCTCTGATGGTCAGTATACCTAAAACAGCCAATAAACAATGTCACCGTACGGTAATAGTATTGTCATACTTATTAATGAAGAACTAAAACCAAATGATTTCATAACATCAAAAAGTATATAAATCTTATACCTGTCGTCTCATCCACAGTGAACTTCTCTCTGTCCTGCTCACGATTAAGAAGGTAACGGACCTTGGCGTTGATAGTGGAGGCATCATCAGCATCTGTTGCATGGACTCGGGTGATGATATCGGAGGGCAGTACATCTTCTGACAACACAACCTCATGGTATGGCTGTAAACAAATCCCAGAATTAGTAGATTATCAATGTTTGTGACACAATATTTCATCTATTAATTCATTGCCATCCTTTACATTGTTCTCATTACTTCTGCATGTTTATATACAATATTTCATATTTATCAAATCTATTTATATATGACATATTCATGACATAGTAGTGAAATATAGATATTTGCTGCATTTCAAAGAAAAATAAATCTGTTTCTATTACCACTAATTCAAAAGTCATTTTTCAAGACTGAATACTAAAAATCAATTACAAAATTACCTGTCCACACACAGGACTGTTGTCATTGTCGTCAAGGATATCCACCGTCACTGTTGTTATGGAACTGAGCCCACCATCAGTGGCAGCTATTTGGAGGTTGTATGTTGTTATTTGTTCACGGTCCAGTGGCCGACTGACACAGACTTCGCCCGTATGATATACCTGAAAGCGTCCATGTGGATCCCCGTCAATGATAAAGTAACTGATGTGTGTGTTCTGTTCACTGTCTGCATCAAAAACTCGAAGTGGTAACAGAACTGTTCCTGGCTCTGCCAACTCATTGACAGCAGTGTGGTAGTGTTTGCTCAAGAATACTGGTGGATTGTCGTTATAGTCCTTAACCTCTATCAGTACTGAGGTCATGCTTGTCCTTGTAACAGATCCCTCAGTGTCTTCCACCACAACAGAAATATTATAGTCACTCTTCGTTTCACGATCAACAGATGACAACAGTGTTATCCAGCCAGTGTGCTGATCAATGTTGAACACTTGAGCGACATCCTCCATGCCATCACCAAATCTATAGGTCAATGTCTCTGGCTCATCAAGGTCAAATGCCCTGACTTGCATGATTCTAATTCCTGGTTTGGAGTTCTCCACTAGACTTGCAGTGTAGGGGTTAGACTCAAATTGTGGGGTATTGTCATTGATGCCAGTGATCTGAAAGTAGACTTCAGTGTGACTGACCAGGGATGGTGAAGCCTCCGTATAAGCCAGCATAGTTAATGTATACTGTGACACATCCTCAGCATCAAGGTCACCATTGAGGTGGATGTTCCCAGAGTCATCAACGGAGAAGAGTTGTGGATGATTGGTCTCTGGGTTACTACCAGGCACAACCCTGTAGTGCACAGGCTGCTGGCTCTCAGCGGTGATTGTACGGATAAAGTTGAACTTATCTGTGTTCTCTGGTGCCACAAATATGTACTTTGACTGAGGGAAGCGGGGTGCTACCTCACCAGACCCCATCACATAAATCTCTACTGGTACATTGTTCTCCAAGGGGATCTCACCAAAGTCCACAGCACTGATAAAGAACTGCATCAAGGAATGCACTGCAATGATTGAAAATTATTCATGAGCATAAGTGTGTCATATCATATAAAGTCTGTCTATTCTATAAAATATTACAAAGTACAAAATAAAATATAAAGGAATGCATTCTGCTAAAGCGTACATTTTATTATAGTATTCATATATATTTGAAAAAAAAAATATTCGTTTAAAGTGTACTGCTATGGTAACTTACTTTTTGGCGTGAGGTCAGCTTTGACCTTGACATCACCAGTGTTAGGGTCAACAAACACATAGGGAGCCACATTGTCATCGTGGAGCTGATAAATAATCCGACCATTATCACCAAGGTCACGATCACGGGCAGTTACCTTAACAAAAATGTATTGATTTATTATAATTCATTTACAAGTAAGACAAAATTGATGAATGAACATAGAAAAAAAAATATGCAAACTTCAAGAAAAATGGACAAATATTTATAAATATCAGACAGTACCTGTATGATAGTGGTGTTGATAGCGGCATCATATGCCTCAACTGCACGATAATCCTGAGCAGTGAATGCTGGGATATTGTCGTTTTTGTCAGTGATAGAAATCTCCACCACAGTAAAACCCATTCTTCCTCCATTGTCAATGGCTGCCACTGGGACCAGGTATGTGTCCTTTACTTCTCTATCAAACATGTGTTCTGTAAATATTTCTCCTGAAATACAAACAGGTATCATCATTATCCCAATTCTAATTTTTCAAGAAAATTTACTTTAATTTTACAAAACATTTCAAAATTGATAACTGGAAAGGACTTTGGATGTTTGATAAATAAGTTCTATTTCATTCTAGTTTTTTCTTCTGGATTTGATGTCTGCCTCTGTATGGTAAACTATGACATACTGCCACCAAATAGACATCAAAATGTCCTTGTGGAAAGAGGTCGCATCATATCAAGGGGTATGTATAAAGAAAAGGCTAGAAAAAGACCAAATGGGGGGATATTGTAGATACATAAAGCAAGGTATTAACATTGTGACACTATCATGCTTGTACAAGACATGAAGCCTTTATAAGCGTCATTGTACAATCCTTACCTGTGTCTGCATCAATACTGAAGTATTGCATCATGTGATCACTGGTGATAGTATAGGTTAGGAGACCATTGTTGCCGTGGTCAGCATCATTGGCAGACACAACAGTGACGAGTATGCCTGCCCCCAGATTTTCGTCGACTGAAGCATGGTAGGGCTGCTCTTGGAACGTAGGTGTGTGGTTGTTGCCATCCTTGATCGTGATGCCGACCCGTGTGAAACTAGTGAAGACACCATCTGACACAGACACATTAACTGTGTAGGCGTGATAGTAATCGCCACCATTACGACCCGTCAGAGTTACTAACCCTGTCTGAGCATTCATGTGAAATGTCTGGTCGTCATTACCACCCACAATAGCATACATCAGGTTGCCTTGACTACTGATGTCGGGGTCTGAGGCTGTTACCCTGGTGACAATCTGACCAGTTGTCTGTACTGTGATGGAACAGTCATACGAAGGCTGATCAAACTGTGGTGCATTGTCATTAAAGTCTTCTACGATGACATGTACATATACCATACTGCTGGAGGCGGGCAAACCTCCATCTGTAGCTCGCACCACAAATGTGAAGTCAGTCTGCACCTCATGGTCAAGTTGTTGTATAAGGGTGATCAGTCCAGTCTGACTATCAATGGTAAAGAAATCTGGGTCAGTGCTGCCTTCTGATAAAGGTTCTATACTGTAATACACCAGCCCACTGCTTCCCAGATCATCATCGTCAGCGTGTACCTTGACCACCGACATCCCTACACCAACTGCCTCAGACAACAGGGCTGTGTACTTGTAGTTTGTAAATAATGGGACATTGTCATTGACGTCCTGAAACATGAGACAATATTGAACACATTAGTTGCAAGGAATATAATCTCCATGATTTCTTGCACTTGATACTTTTGAAAATCAAATGGTTACCATATCAAAGATTATCCATCATTATCAATGATTTCAATACTTACGGTTACAATGACTCTAACTGTGGCTGTAGCTGTAGCACTGGTCTTCACGTCAGCTGCCTGGATGACAAGCTCGTAACCTTTGGTGACCTCGTAGTCAAGTGGGCTGACCACACCCACAACACCTATAAATAGCACAAGAAGTGTTTCAGTTAATGACACATACATGTAAAGCTCTTTCTTTCAAACTTCAACATATGTAAACAATCAACAACAAAAATCAACATCTAATTCACAAAGTCACAAAATTAATTATTTTCATCAAAATGTTTTCAAAAGATCAATTCACTGCAGCATGAAGCGTAACTCTTTTCAATGTACAGTATCATGAATCATCAAACTTATGAATATTGATTCCTTCCAACATATTATCACATGATAATTGTACGGTGTCTCAACTCTGATAGTAGGAAATCAATGCTAAAAAATACTTTGACAAAGTAAGCTATCATTCAATTGATATTTCAAGATAAATTAACTTCAGCTAAATTTTTTTTTTTTTCATATATATGCAAATACCAGTTCTAAAAATTATGATAGTTGCCAAAGAAACCACACTGAAAATCTTTTACCAACCAGAAATGGTAGCTACAGTTAATCAATGACACTGACCTAACTCATTGATTTATTTCCAGTAAGAGTTATGCCCCTTATACCAGGACAGCATTCCATAGCAGCAGAGATAACGCGAGACAAGAAGGTAGTAAATCATCAATATTAGGTATGCGTGGCTAGATAATTGGTATGCAATAGGGATATGATTGGTATGAAGTGGCTACATACAAGGATATCCTCAAGGTCACCACACTAATTAACTTGGGCAGGATAAACAATAGTACATGTCAAGTATATATATATTTTTGTAATACCTGTCAGGCAAGACTATGTGTCTTTACCCAATTACCACAGCACTATGGTGATCCCTTGCTTTGCAGTTATAAGAAAATTACATGCATGCAACTAGCAAAAACAAACTCAGCGAGAAACTAATTAGAGTGTGGCAAATGGCAGAAACAGCATGCAGTCACAAATCCCACAAGGACTTTTGATAAGTTCTGTTGACTTTTTTTAGAACATGCGTCAGACTGCAGTGCTAGAACAGCAAGGCAATGTCAGTGAAAACAGGTGTATGCACTCATCTCGGATAACTAATTATTTTGCTGTCAAATTTCCGTGTCTTTTTGTACTTTTAGAAGTAAGTATCAATAATATAATTACTAGTACCCCACATGTGGTTACTGTTTGATTCTACATAAAAGCTCAATCGCAAAGCCACAAACTATTGGACTGGTATACACTTTAAACTTCCATAACTATTGACCAGTTATATAAAGGCAAATATTTCAGATGATCACTTGATACAAAGTTATATAAGAGTATCTCCAATTATCTGGCTGTGGTAGGGTTACTGACTCTATTACTACATTCTAAACAATCTGCTCCTCTTGGGACGAATAACTCTAAAATCATTAAACGCATATACAGTTAGATTTTTATATATCCCTAACTATATGCTTCCCTTGAGTCAATAAGTATCAATTAGATTTTAGAATCCTTGGAACTAATACCATCCCTCCTGGGATAAATATATCCAGATCTATTAGACTTGTGTTCAGACATGTAAAGTATTCTTATGTAGTTTATAGTTACAAACCCAGGTTCTACACAGTATCAACTAGCACAACCAATCTTAACATATCTATCATTTGTATGCAATATATCTTCCATTATACACAGGAGTATCTAGAGCTGCACCAGTCACACACTATTTGTTAAATAACAGACAATCTTGTTAATTTCACAATCAAGTATTTTCTATATATGTTAGATAAAATTACTTCTCAATTTGTTTTTTTAAATTGACAAATGCAGTTAAAACCATTTTCACATTTAGATTTTATTTCCTGTACATGTCATATAAATTCAAACAGGATATCAAGATGTAAGAAAAGATATTAACTGTAACTGATTATGATATTTTGTTTACCTGAGCTCTATCCTTTAGATGAATGAAAGATTGCAGCTTAAAGATGTTATGAGAAAAGACATAATGTGTTTATTTCAATTATTGATGTGTTAAATTGATTTTTTTTACTATTTTTAAAAATAGAAATATTACCTAAATTAAGAAATAATTCAATTTCAAAGATAATAATGAACAGAGTACATTTTTGTATAATACATGACACATCTCATATCAACATTGTGTTGGCCAATGATTATTTCAACACTCCAAAAACTTTAATTAAACTACAGTACTTTGTCTAATTGGTTCCGTTTTTAATTGTCAGGACCTAAGATATTTATATGGAGGTCATGTTCGAAATGACCTTTATGAACAACCAATCAGAATTACCATGACATGGCCTTGACCCAACGCACTTCTGGCCTTGACACAGAATGTACTTTTCATTCAAGGATTTTCACACCAAACAGAATAAAAGATTTAAAGGTGCACCAAAAAGCAGAACATTTTTTCAAATATCTTTATCGATCTCCACAAGTACAAAATTTACCAAAACACTTAACTTGAACGATAAAGATAGAGAAAGGAAAACAATAAATGAATTTTCCAGTACTATCAAGTTATTGGGTACGCCAGTGGCTGGATCTCAAATAGTTATTTTGTAAGGTTACAAACTGAACAATAGTCAAGTTCTATTTGAACAGCGATGGCTATTTTTAAATGGTTTCATTATTCCTACGTTAAGTCTGGTCAAAACCAATTTTTTCTCCAACTGTGGTCCTGATGTGTGTGTGTGGATGCTCTAAAAATATTTACATGTTAAAGCATGACATGAAAACAAATGAAGTTTGGAATGTGAATCAGTGAAACGGGATGTGAATGGTTTGGCAATACTTTACTAAGGAGGAAGAAGGAAAGGGAGGAAGTGGTTGGTTTTACAAGGATGGTTTAGGTTCAACCGTGGATAGGCAATGGAAATCACAATCAAAGGAGAATCAGACACAATTTTTAATAAATTTCACTTCTATTTAGTTTCATAAAAGCGAAGAAAATAATTTTTATTTAAATAAAATAATCAAATATTCTGAAAAAAAATTTCAACATAACCTCCAATGACAAATTTGTTTAACAATCTCAAAATGCAAACACAAAAGAAAAAACTCAAAGAGAAAAAAACTTTTGTTAAAAGTGCAATGAGGAAAATGCACAAGTCAAACATTTCTCAAACAGAATGCAATGCTTGAAGTCATGACACCAGGCAAAGGCAAGCGTTGAAAATTGGCGTCGCGTGTAGATATGTTATGTGGGAGAGATACTCACACGGGCCGAGTGCGTCCGTGCCTTTGTAGAGACACACACAAGGCATAGAATAAGGACAGATTGGTGATGTTGGTAGTGGTGGTGGACGTGGTATCAGAGGTACACAACAAATTCAAAGGAAAAAAAAACACATTGAATTAGCAAAAAATATTTCCACAACCAGCATATATCGTGAATTTTTATATATCTTCAGAAAACATGTAGAGAGGAAAGGTATATATAAAAATAAGCAAAATTTTAGTTAAAAAAGTAAGAGTATTGCTTTTGTGGAAGGAAGACTTTGTTTTACAAAACTTTAAAAAAAAAAAAGTTACAAAAGACAGAGGTGAGTTTTGGTTAATCTAAATTAAAAATATTTATATCTAATTTTCAAGATTTTCAAGTCATAAAAAATTTCGCATATTTCAATGAAGAAAAAACAATATATCAGAAACTTAAAAAGAAATCCTGGATCAAATTCAATAGATGATTGTTGAAAGGGAGGTAAATGTCTTTGAAATGAAGGTATAATCACAGCTAATCGTAACTTATCAATACCAAGTTCGGTTTTAAATCAACTAACGTAATTTGAAAAATCCTCATTGTGAACCTAAAATGTAGAAAATCATCAGAAACAAAATTCCATGCTTGCCGTACAAAATCTTGAATGGAAATGATAAGCCAAAAAAAATACAAAAACCAAACACAAGGAAAATTATCACTTCAAATATCTGTGACGCAACACCTATGGTAATGACACAATGTGTAAAAGACTTGGTTAGAACATAACACTCATGTTTAATTTAAAATGTCCACAACTAATTCCGGTTAATGAGTTGATGGTGAAAGCTAGCTGTCTCATTACACAGACAATTAGTACAGCCAGGATGAATCGCCAACACCTAGTCAATCAACTCAAGAATAGCGAAACAGCAAACACCAACATGGGTAACAATGAGAAGTTGGACGTCTAATTTAGAGGGACATATGATTTTTTTTCATTAAAGAAAATAGAGAAGAGAATCTGACGTTTCTGTGGAAGTTTTTTTTTTCTTTTTTTCTCGCGTTCATAAAGGAATCATGTTTGAGTTCCTTAGACAGATAGAGAAATGGATCTTTTAATGACCATAGATATGGTCTTGTTTCTGCTGAAGTATAGACAGAGTGAATAGATAGAAGTATTGATTATTTGTAGAACAAGTTAAGACTACCATGTGCAAAACCCATAATAAATCATATTATAAGATATAGAGGCAGTACAATCTAGATATGTAAGGAAAGTAAAAATATACAAAATAAAAGAAAACTGACCATAACCACAAACATATAGGCAAAAATGAACCATTTATAATCAATACCAAAAGAAATCTTCAAAGAAACAGATTTTGTATACAAATATAATTTTTTTATGTATATGAACTTAAAAAAACATGGTTCATTGTAGTCAACAATGAAATTACCAACATGCTGGAAGTGTATAGCAAGCAAAATATTTACCCTTGTATATAAATGGTTACTCTTGGTGGGATGGGGGTATCAAAAGACTTCCCTACACCAGGGGACTGATAGAGAGCAGGGATAGGAGTCAAGGTCAAGGTCATGTAGGGGAGAGAGTATCACCAAACAACACTGCAGATAAGCACAACTCAATGGCATGATATCACAGTGGCAGCAGTTATCCCGATCCCACAGCTTTACTCTGGTTCTATACCATTCTACTGTCGCACTTGGAACACCAATTTAATCCTTAATCGTTGGTATAATGACCCAATTTTTTCAACATTAGCATTTTTTTTGCAACCCCGACCTTTTGGTCTTTAATTTACATGATAATGAGTTCCATATCTCATCTATAGAGACCCATTAAAATAGACAATCTGTATGAGCCAAAAACTGATGTGTTGATGAGAGTCCAGCGTTACGAAATTCTAAATAGCTATGAAACATTACGTATATTAGCAATGATTAATGAAGATGTAAGAGCATGAACGATAGTCTTTAAATCTACACTGCAAATCTAACTGATAGTTGTATACAAACCACATGATAGTTTATAATTACTGAAGACTAACTATAAGGCAGCTTGCCTTGAAACAGTCACCAATCAGGATCACATATTACCCTGTATATTTTGTGAAAAGTTGTCTGCCATCCTAATGATATATAGTTGTAGAATCCTTCCCCTGAAAGTGCTATCTTATCATCCTGATTCTATCCAGAGGAAAAAAACACTAGAAAACATTTTAAACCAATGTTACACCACATAAGCACAGAACATCGCCTACCTATGTTGAAGTCCACATCGAAATCTTTGTATGTGTCGCCACTGATGATGGTGTAGATGAGTTTGTGTCCATTGGGACTGACCGCTCGAACACTAATGACTGGTGTATGGAGCTGGACATCCTCACGGACAGTTGTTGTATAAAACTGTTGTTCAAAGCGAGGATGGGCATCACTGATGACAGAGATGGTTACGTTGACATCTACAGATCGTGGAGGGATACCTACATAGTAAAAAAAAAATATTTTAGCATTCTATAAATACTCCAGTATCTTATAATTCAAAGAGTTTTAAATTCTGAAAACTGAAAATATATATCACCAGTAGATCTTTTCCTTTATATGCAAAACAAAGAGATAAGGGGAGATAACCTTTATAAGGTAGCATCATATTTCCTTAACAAAGATATATATACATCCTTATAAAAAGGGTGTTGTTTACATAAATTTTCAGAAGAATTAAAGAAATCTCTTCACACAAGTTCATAAATTGTACATAATTTGTTAGATACGTAGATAATAACATAGAAACCGTTTAAAGTTGATGTGTATCCTCATTACCTTCATCACTAGCCCTAATGGTCAGCACAAAGTCCCTGTTCTGGTCAGCCTGGTCAAGTGGACTGGCCAAGGTGATTCGACCATCATTAGTCCCTATGTTGAACTTGTCCTGGTATCCTGTCACCATGGTAAACTTGACCAGTCCATTGCTGTCACTGTCTCGGTCGATAGCTGTTACCTAGGTAACAAAAGAGGAAAACTGTGACTTCATAAGCCTATTTCCTGAAGTAACCTTTTTTTTCATGATAAAAGCATCAGTTGCTAAATTTCATTTCATTTCTGAGCACATATATCTACGAAACTTATTATATTAACTTATAAATGTACCTAAATTTAAAGTGATTTATGTTATCTGTACACAAGGAATATCAGATATATATTTATCATTTAATATCATTTATCACATTCTATTCTATATATATATATATATATATGTATCAGACTAGGATGTAAATATTAGAGATACTACTAATTGTACAATTTAGGTACAAAGAAAAATCAGCCTTATATAGAGACGACTCTAACAAAACATCAACGTGTATAAAAATTGACCTTGACCTACCTGTCTAACTAGTTCACCTGTCTGAAGACCAAGGGCTACTACTGTATCGTATGGCTGGTTCACAAACTGTGGGTCATTGTCGTTTTCATCCAGAATGTTTACTTCAACAAGAACGTGTGCTATCTGGCCAGATTCTCCCAGTACTGATATAACCAGAGTGTACAATGTGTTTTCTTCTCGGTCGAAACTCTGCTCCTTGGTCTGTAGAACACCAGATGTTTGGACAACACTGAACAAATCCTGGTGGTTCAATAATGTGAACACAAGGTGCTGGTTCATTGGATCAAGCACTTGTATGACAGTGAGTGTTTGAGGACCTGGAGTGTTCTCGGTGATATTGACAGAGTACACAGGTTTACTGAAAACAAACACTGCTTCCTCTGGAGAATTCACAGATATTGTCAGTGTAGAGGCCGATTTAAATTTTCCATCAGTTACTTCAACGCCTAATTCATAACTTTCCTCTAAATTGGCTTTATTTTTTATGAAAATCTGTCCCGTTTGTGGATTTATCTTGAATTTTTCGTCAGCATTGCCATCCACAATGCTAAACAGTAAAGTGTCCTTATTAATGGAATCTATATCAGTAGCATTAAGTTTGATTATTTCAACATCTTCAGTCGTTGGTAGTAATATATCAGCATGGTAAGACAGTTGTGTAAAGTACGGTGGGTTATCATTCATGTCCACAATATGAATGACAACCTTTGCTGGTTCAACAGCCTGTAACTGAGGATAACCCTTATCCCATACATACACATAAAATTCAATCTCATCAAACTCCTCGTGATCAAGGACAGCCATACTTTTAATTGCTCCAGTGGCCGAGTCTACTGAAAAGTACTTACTACCTTTTGGGTCAGTTATCTTATAGGTGACGTGTGCATTTTTATAAGAATCCAGATCAGTTGCATGGACCACTAGGGGCTCCAAACTCATACTGAGAATAACACTGCCTACAGGGGCACTCTCACTGATCTTACCCTCACACATAGTCTCATCAAACACAGGGGCATTATCGTTAAGGTCAAGGACAAGGATCACAACGCGCACAGTAGAGGTCGCGCCTACAATGTTGGTTGCAGACACAGTCAGGTTATAGTGGTCACGCACCTCATAGTCCACTTCATCCTTTGTGTAGATAATGCCAGAGTTAGGGTTGATGCTGAATACCTCGTCCTCATTTCCACTTATAATATCAAACAACATGGAGGATTGACACAAAGCTTCAACAGGGATCACATGACTTCCAAGAGGGCAGTTCTCACGAATCTCAGACATAAACATGCTGGAGACAAATTTTGGGGCAGCATTGTTTGATATGGTAACCAATATGGTAACTGAGACAGTACTACTGAGAGGGGGAGAACCGTGGTCTGTTGCCATGACAGTCAGCTGGTAGGAAGACATCTCGTCTCTATTAAGCTCCTGAGCGACTGTAATTATGCCTAAAGTTTCGTCAATGTCAAACATCATTCCAATGTTTCCTGAAACAAAAGGATATAATCCTTGACTTAAAACTCGCAAAATTATTAAATTTATCAAAAGAGCATCTTTAAATCTCATCAAGTTCCTGTCCTTTGTCTACATGTACTTCTTGCTTACAGTGTTCAGTATCTGAGCCATTGAATTAATGTCAATGTACTTTCCATGATAAAAACCAAATTTATGAAATTACAGCTGTAAAAGACCTGTCCCGAAAATATCTGTGATAATTAAACACAGGGTAAGTCTGTACTTTTTCAGGAAGCACCCAATTACCACAGTTGTAATTTCAAGACTGTTTAATTAATGTTTAGGACGTAACATTACTAATAGAGTGTTCTATGTTACTGTTGTGTAATTATATCTTGTAATCTCTTGAGACTTGTCCTGCTGACACAATAATTAAGAGATATGATCAAAGCATAACAGTATGCCAAACCAATCACAGGTCCGAAGGCGTTAATTTCTTCACACATGGGGATGTTTGGTATAGTTTCTACAGGTGTATTCATACTATGATGCCAAATTATCACAGCCACATCGCGTTGTAGCACTGGCTTATAATTTGGATACATCACCTTTAGCCTACAGTCTCACACAGGGAAGTGTGTACCTTACTTCTGATGTCATGTGGTGGCTTACAATGCCATAGTACAAACTACACATTTATACATTAAAAATAACTGACATCATTATGTCATACAACAGTTCACAACCCTAATGTCACAATATACATATAACATTGTCCATGAGAAGTGTCTATCTTTTTGTTGTATGACCGATAGCACTTCTGACATCATAGTACATATAATACGCTATATAACACTAAGGTCATAAAGATCATGACATTCTGAGAAGTTACAAACCTAAAGGATATCATCACAGAGAAATGTCCTCTGTTCTTTTTTAAAATTAAGTAACGTTTTCCATTTACTGAAAAAACAACCTATATAATGTGAATGAAATCTTATGCTATATCAACACCAATCAAATTGATCGTATCAAAATTCTAAATTGGGTTTGGGTCACTACATAACTTGTTATGTACGAAAATCCTAAGAAAATGTCTTGTATTTTTTCTTTGAATCAGTTATTGTATGAAGGAATTGTCCCGTTCCACTAAAAGTACAGCTATGTAAGACCAGATGGTGCTAGAATCTATTCACAGTGAGTCTCCATATACCCTATGTAAAATGTCAATATCACAGAGGACCATAAACACACTACAGGTCCACTTACTTGTCAAGTATAAACAAAAATCTACTTATATCAGTGAAGCAGTGTGCGTCAATGGAATTGATAACAAAAGACTCAAATTTAGTTCTATACTCAATATAAAAACAAAATGGAATTGAACTATACACAACCTAACTACATCATTACCCCAAAAGAGCCCTTGAATAGAACTCTACCATGTTTACATAAAACACAAACAATCTACTAGACATAATACCAGCAATGAAAATGACCAACCAAGAGTCACAATTATCTGACCAGAGTACTTTACTGAGTGTTTGTGACTGGTTAGGGAACTCCTTGACCATGTATTGACCAGTATGATATTAGCTAGAAAAGGTAAAGTTTATGGAGTTCTACAAGCCCTATCTCCAACCAAACACTTTGTAAACACTTGAGTCAGTGGTTGTCCTGTAAAAGTGTCCTTGTGAGTCACTCCGACCACTCATTGCCTGTGAAGTCATTTGTTTATTACCCTAATCTTGATAATATTTGTAAAATGACATGAATATCAGATTAAAATACAACCTTATCTAGATCACAAGGGAGCCAGATATTACTTGTCCTGCAGGTGGACGGAGATATGATTTACATATTTAATCTATAACTGTTTCCATGAAGATGAGCTAATCTTATTTCCTTGTTTACATTCCAAAATGCTCACGGTGACCTCTTCAATGGTTCTTATCTAAGGTCAAGGTCAACTACTGCATAATCACCTAGTCTTCTGATGTCACATTGTGTGAGTAAATCAAATTCAAAGAGAAGCCTTTTTTATTCCTTTTTCTTCATCATAATACAAGACTATCCATTCCTTCATAGGAATGAGTAGTAAGACAGAATTTGTTTTTAATCAAACCTTAGAGATACAAGAGTTATCACCCTTACCTGATTTGATGGAGAAGGATAACTCTGCATTTTGACCTTTGTCTTTGTCAATCGCCATGACCTCAACCACAGAGGTCCCAATGGCTGCTGTTTCAAATACACGTCCCTCAATAAGCTCCTCCAGAAATTCGGGAGCGAAGTCATTATGATCTAGCACATTGATCGTGACATAGGTATAGTTCCGGTGTGACTGTTTCCCCTGGTCACGCACCATCACCGTCAACTGGTGGACAGACTGCACCTCACGGTCAAGCTCCTGTTTCACTTGGATCACACCTGTAAGAAAATGTCAAAAGTCATCTTCCAGATAATTATCACAGTTACAACAAAACCCAGATGACTGATTAGTGACCAGAAATACAACATTTATTAGCTTGAATTGGATTCAGGAGAAAAATAATTGTCTTTTTCTGTTCTCAATTTAATCTTACAATTACCTATAATTCAATTAAGGTAATAGTATTAAATGTTACAGTGCTCAGCTTTTGAATATTCATGTCAAAACAAAAACTGAAGCAATTACCAAAGTTCAACAGCATTATGAATCTTTAATTGATCAGAACTTTTTCGAAAAAGAAAAAAAAGCAACAAGTATGAGCCAAAATAAAACTTGCTATTTTATGGGTGGTGTGACAAGTAAACACATAAGGTACAGTTAAACAATAGATTTATATATTTTTCTTCTGGCCTTAATCATAAGTCACAAATTTCCATCTTCAAATGAGGCAGATTCTGCATTTAGGTCTATTTACGGCTCATTTGCTACTGCAAAATTTTACACTTGAGAAAATAAGAAACCAGTGCATCATGATAAATGATACTTAGAACATCACTTCTGACTTTTTTGTATTGATGTCAAAATAGACTTCCAGAATGTTGGTATTTTTCAGCCAGAAAATGTCTTGTGATATGAAGAGTAATGGAGACAGAAAAAACCTGAAACTAGACCTTCCTGAAATTTCGGCATTAAAAAGAAACTCTTGTCAAATTTTGAAGTAAATGTAGATCAATTTATTATGCGTTATTTGTTCAGTGTTTTAATTTCCATTCGTTTTCTTGCCGAACTGACCTGTTTCAGAGTTTATTTCAAATTTGTTGTCAGTGACGCTGTTGGCTGTGGCCAGGATGGTGTAAAATAGCCGACTGTTTTTGTCACGGTCAATGGCCGAAATCTGAAGAACAGTGGTCCCAATGGCAGCATTTTCAGACACGTTGGCGCTGAAGTGAGGCTTCGTAAACATCGGGGCATTGTCATTACTGTCGAGAACTCGGAGAACAACCTGGAGAAATAACATCACAGAGATATGTAAACTAATTAAACACCCTAAAGATACTGCTTTATTACACTGTATTGGATAATTCTTGGTTTTTTACAACCCAATTCCTTACCAAAGTTGAACATGAGTTCACATACAAAGCTCACAATCAAAACAGAAAAACAAATTTGCAACCTAAATTAAATGAGAAAAGAGACGTTATGTCTTCCTCATATATACAATTAACAGAAAGCATCATATCTTCTGAATTTCAGATCTGTTGTGTTTTAGTCTGGAAATGAATAAAATTTGGAGGTAAAAAAAAACAAATATTTTCATTTCCAAGAGAATTATAGATATAATACTAGTAATATCAGTACAATTGTAAAATGAAGTGAAACAACATCATTGTACATATCAAAGACAAGAACTAAATAAAAGGAAGGCATTTCTCTGGGAATCAGACCACTAGGAGGTGAACTACAGTAATTAGTGCATATATTTACATCATTATATCAATCATTTCCATAAATCCATGCAATCATATAAAAGGATTCCATTTTCTTCTTCCATTTTTTTTGCTGGATGTCCATAAAATATAATTATTTCTTCTGTTTCTCCAAAATTACAGGCCTAATGAAAACCATCACTTTCATCACAGATGAAATCATCTTTCAACAACTATCTATTTCTGTTCTCCTGTTTTCCTTAGATGTCCATGGAAGCTATGTCCCGTCTAATGAACAAACCCACATTAAATACAATTACCTTTAAAAAGGTTCTATTCACTGCTTACTAGACAATCAAACAGAATTATCTAACTTGTCCCCCTCCCCGTCTAACTTCTCCCCTCCCCCTCGCTACGTCCCCCTCCCCTAACCCCCGTGACCTAAACCAAATGTTGATGATATAGAATGACTTGGGGTCGAGTAATATGAAAACATATGTTTGCCTAACCACACCTGGAATTAGTTTCCTTGATAAATCAGATCTATCTCACAGCCAATCTTACATATCAATGCTTATAATAGTCTGGAGCAGAGGATAGCTGACGTTGAGACAATGCCAGGATACACACTATCAACACACAAATCGCTTGTGTATACTAACCAACTCTGACAGCTGACAATGGCTAACTTTTTCTGTCCTTCTTTAGCGATGAGAAAACATATCAGAGACATAATATTAACTAGGATGACTTTGCTTTTTTCGTCAGAATTTGTACATCGGACTATATGTAAAACAATAGCTCTCCTTTGTAGCAGACATACAGATCATAAAACAAGCTATATGTTGTAGAATTAATGTCCTGCCTTCATAAGCAAAGTCAAAAGGAAATGTCTTGTACTGTAATTAAATGAAAAAGTATACTCATTGCAGAATAAATGGATTGACTCACTCACCCACTCCAAACCCTAAAAATGTTTCATTATCACAACAATCTTTACCAACAATTTTTTTCCTTTAACTCCTCATCCTGGCAGGTTTTAAAAGTTATATCAACTGTTATACAGAGTTACATACATCAGATAAGTGTCAATACAGATCACAGACAAAAACTGCTGTCTTTCACATCTATAAAAGCAAATATCTTTTGAAATTAGAAATTTATCATATACCGGTACATGATTGAATTCGTATAACAACTGCATGCCTTACTGAGTGACTGTAATTTCATATCTCAAGAAAACAAAGTCTGTCCTTCAATGTTACAGATAAAATTGATATCAATCATTTACAAATTTACCCTAATTTATTCTACATTATTTTTATATATCCAATATAAATTAACATTTACATAAAAAACACTTGTATTGATGCAATGAAAATGTTGCCATATTACAATTTGATGCCACTGGCAGTATTGGATAAAGTTATCTAAAAACCATTTCAAGTGAAATATCACAAAGTATTTTTTTGATTGGGCAATAATGATCCCTCTGAAATTGAAAATTACATTTGGCTACTTTAATTTCATTTAAAATGTGATTTAATTTGTTTTCAATTCAATTCTGTTTTTATCTTTCATGACATAAAATCCCAAAATAAATACCAAGATGGCAGTAGTTTTTGTGGAATAGCAAATTTTCTGATTTATTGAATATCAATGATGGTATAGTAGTTTGAACAGTATTTTCCAGACTATGCGTTTGGCATTAGGTAAACTACGGGGATATAAATCACACCTGGTCAACTATATAATGTGTGGTGTGCCTGCCTTGGTAATGAAGAAAGATAAGCCTCTCCTAAAAATACATCATCTGAAACCTGGTCTGATACTCTATAGCCCCTGATTTATATATCTACTCTTCCCTCCCCCCCTCCTCCCCCAACAATAATTACACCTGGTCTGATACTCTATAGTCCCTGATTTATATATCTACTCTTCCCTCCCCCCTCCTCCCCAACAATAATTACACCTGGTCTGATACTCTATAGTCTCTGATTTATATATCTACTCTTCCCTCCCCCCCTCCTCCCCAACAATAATTACACCTGGTCTGATACTCTATAGTCCCTGATTTATATTTCTACTCTTCCCTCCCCCTCTCCTCCCCAACAATAATTACACCTGGTCTGATACTCTATAGTCCCTGATTTATATATCTACTCTTCCCTCCCCCCCTCCTCCCCCAACAATAATTACACCTGGTCTGATACTCTATAGTCCCTCATTTATATATCTACTCTTCCCTCCTCCCCTCCTCCCCCAACAATAATTACACCTGGTCTGATACTCTATAGTCCCTGATTTATATATCTACTCTTCCCTCCTCCCCTCCTCCCCCAACAATAATTACACCTGGTCTGATACTCTATAGTCCCTGATTTATATATCTACTCTTCCCTCCTCCCCTCCTCCCCCAACAATAATTACACCTGGTCTGATACTCTATAGTCCCTGATTTATATATCTACTCTTCCCTCCCCCCTCCTCCCCCACAATAATTACACCTGGTCTGATACTCTATAGTCCCTGATTTATATTTCTATTTATATATCTACTCTTCCCTCCCCCCTCCTCCCCCACAATAATTACACCTGGTCTGATACTCTATAGTCCCTCATTTATATATCTACTCTTCCCTCCCTCCCTCCTCCCCAACAATAATTACACCTGGTCTGATACTCTATAGTCCCTGATTTATATTTCTACTCTTCCCTCCCCCCCTCCTCCCCCACAATAATTACACCTGGTCTGATACTCTATAGTCCCTGATTTATATATCAACTCTTCCTCCCCCCTCCTCCCCCAACAATAATTACACCTGGTCTGATACTCTATAGTCCCTGATTTATATTTCTACTCTTCCCCCCCCTCCTCCCCCACAATAATTACACCTGGTCTGATACTCTATAGTCCCTGATTTATATTTCTACTCTTCCCTCCTCCCTCCTCCCCCACAATAATTACACCTGGTCTGATACTCTATAGTCCCTGATTTATATTTCTACTCTTCCCTCCCCCCCTCCTCCCCCACAATAATTACACCTGGTCTGATACTCTATAGTCCCTGATTTATATTTCTACTCTTCCCTCCCCCCCTCCTCCCCCACAATAATTACACCTGGTCTGATACTCTATAGTCCCTGATTTATATTTCTACTCTTCCCTCCCCCCCTCCTCCCCCACAATAATTACACCTGGTCTGATACTCTATAGTCCCTGATTTATATTTCTACTCTTCCCTCCCTTCCCTCCCCTGATTTATATTTCTACTCTCCTCCCCCCCCCACAATAATTACACCTGGTCTGTTACACTATAGTACCTGAGTTAATTTTCTAGTCTTCCCTCCCCCCCTCCTCCCCCACAATAATTACACCTGGTCTGATACTCTATAGTCCCTGATTTATATTTCTACTCTTCCCTCCCCCCTCCCCTCCTCCCCAACAATAATTACACCTAAAACACAATCTATTTCTACCCAATAACTTACTCCTTACTACAATTTACCTAGGATAACCCAAAAGCTCCAACCCATAGACAAGAGGTACAGCAAGTATTCCTCATATATAGTAATATCAGTCGTTGATAAGCCCGGGGGAGGGAGGACAGGAGTTGAGTATATCTTAGAAGGTATAATGACTATAGAATTTAGGTGGGAATTAATAACAAGAGAGATATAATACTGTTCTAAACTTGTTACAGAAAAGTGGGATGGTCTCCTCCTGAACAAGGAATTACTACAGATATAATATAGTAAAGACGTAATCCCTCACCTGGCAAGTACGTATCACTATTGAAATAGCTCAGTCATGATATACAGCTTTAACTCTTTAGATATGTTGGTACACGACTCTACAAACTTCACCGATAATATTTTCACAGAGAGTTTAAGATTAATACTCGTTTTGAGGATTTTTAATTCGATGTATATCTTTCCTGAGGAAGAAATTGAAAAGTGCTCTCATGTCACATTAAACCAGCATAACCTGCGAGGCAAATGCACACACCAACTCCTGATATCCACTTTATGTCAAACCTAGCATCAATCTCTGAAGGTATCTTTAGGATAAAAGTCTTTCAAAGGAGAAAGATTTCACATAATTATATCTTAAAACCAGAAATAAAATATGAATGCACACATGGTGCCCTATTTGTTGAGGTGGCAGGTTGTGTCTCTGTCTGTTATAATCTATGAATTAGAACACAGAACTGTCATAATTTTTTCTTGGGAAAAGGTTGTTGGAAGATTTTAACGTTTGTCTGTTCATCAGTGTCAAACAGAACATATGGAGATTTCCTACATCAGCAGCCTGATTATAAATAAACATCACATTAAATTTTCCTCACATGTAGTACACCACCATACCATATAACGAAAAGGATTTGTGACAATCTTTCTAATATTTATTTCATAAATCCTGAAATTTTGAAGGAAACGTGGCATGTGCTATCCAGAATACTGAATTAAAAGCAAATATTTAAGACAGTTAGGTTCCATTAAGCTAATTATCCAAGATGTTCCACGTACAAGACAGGCATAACTAGATAATTACTTGCTAAAGCATCAGATTTGAAACCTCCAGTTTTAATCTTTTGTATACAAATCCTACTTTGAAAACTTCAAGTCTAATTCATGCATTGATAACAATCGGAATTAAATTTCAAAACTTCACTGGTAAAAAAATGCTGAATATCAGCTAACCTATAAACATTAATCTGTCAACTTTTAAAGTGCAGGGTGAGAGGTCATGTGATGTGTAGTCCTACATTTTGTTGATTGTCCAAAGGGTGTGTTATATACATATTCCAAGTGTATCAAATACCCCAATAGGTAAATCTGTCCCTGTCTACATACACTATACAGGTACACGTCACCTTGATTCACCAAATGACAACCTGTCTATATCTTCGGCAGAATGAATCAGCAATCTGTATGACGCCATTATCTTTATGAATGGACATATCTATCTATGGCTCCCAGAACTTGTGCAGTTTATCTGGAATCTATTTTTCTGTTTGTTATTGTTTTGAAGTCTGAACATTGGTTCATGTTCCCACCCTGGTATCAACTGCTTCAGAATATATAAGTCTGTGACCACAGCTAGGCCTTCCCACTATCACACAGCCTTATTTCCAACCCACGTTAAAGGTCAATGTCATTTATTTAGATGTATTTTTTTCTCTCTCAAGAGAAAAAAATACTTTTAACATTAATGTGTTTGCTGCTGAAATGCAATCTGAAATAGAACTCTTTAATTTCTCAATTTCCTTTCTTTTTTTCTGCTCCTACCATGTATCTAGTCTCATTAGCTCTTTCATTCCTTTAAAAACGAAATACAACATTTACATAGTCCATTTCTCGGAATTGGCTACCCTATTTTGATAAATTTGTCAACAAATGCTATATCATGTCCTGTAATACGCCCACCCACTTACATTGAGTTAGTAGTAATGTGTTAACCATCGGGGTCCTGTAATAAATCTAATCTTACTTTGAGCTGGGAGTTATGTGTTGGTCCCTGGGGTCCTGTAATAAGCCCACCCCTTTACTTTGAGTTAGAGGTTATGAGTTGTCAGCGTTAAGACTTATTGCAGCACAAATGTTCTAGGTTATTATAAATACACCTATATTTATACATTTTTATTTATCTGCTTTTTTCCAGTTTTCCAATTCTGCACTTTTAAAACCACATTTCGTTTTCCCATTTTTGTTACAATTGGTTCAATGTCTTCTTTCATTAGACCTAATTGTGGTTGTCGTTGACATCACGAGCTCACCAATTTAAGTGGCCTGTTGTGTAGGCTGCTGAGGTGAATAATTGATTCCGAGCTGAAGTTAGGTGATAAGCAGTTACTGTCCTCATTAATATTTGATCTGATTGATGATGGGTCTGTGTGTCTGAGCGCCCCTTGTCACCCTGCTTCTATACACACTGGTTGCAAAACCAGCAGTGATATGGCGTCTTTGTTCTCCTAAACTTCCATCACAGTATGTTTCCACTAATCAAATCTGCATTGTCAATAGAGCTACTTTTTATGTAATAAAATGTCAAGCCAGGTCAGAAAAGGTCAGGATAGGCTAGTCGGGGGTCAGAAAAGTTATACATGGAATACAGAGAAATTGTAACATCACAATGTCATAGAGTAACTGAACAATTCAATTAAAGGGTCAAAAGTTGAATCGCTACTGTTTAGTAGAAATATTGACGGTATTACAAATCTAGTGCTACAGAGTAGTGTTGCTGCTGAAAACTAGAGATTAGAATACAAAATAGAGGTTTGTGCCAGGATGAAGAATGAGAAATTGAGGCAGATGATAGGAAGGTGGAAAGTGAGAGATAGATAGATGGGTGACAGTTGAGAGAGGAAGAAAAATGACGACATGTCAAAGGTGAATGCAGGGGAAGGTAACTCTACCATAAAAACCTCTGTGTTTGTTAAGTACAAGTATAAAAGACTCCTAAACAAACTTTTTTATGTGACTTTGTCCTTCGTCAGATTGACACTGTGATAAGAGGTGTAAATTACCACAAACATATCAGCTCACGTCAAACAATCAACATTCTATTATAAGGTATGTAATTATGTATGGTTGGTCTAGACAGAGGCCAGTCCTTTTTTCAATTTTTTCACTTCAAGCTTTACAAAAATGTTCTAGATGACAATCATATATTGTCTAGAAATCAGAAATGATTTTTTCCTGTTGTTTTTGTAGAGAGCATACCTGAAGCTTCCATCTTGTATCAATTATCATGGCATTGTTCTTACATAGGTACACACAGGTAAAACTATGATTTGGAAAAAGAAACCAGCAGACATCTCAGACATTATGGCATCATATTGATGTGAACTCTGATGTAAAATGTAAAAAAGACAGATAAAAACAAAACTTTGATGTCAACACCTAAAAAATTTTAAGTCTAATTCCTTATTAGTAAAAGACAACAGGAACTGATAATACACCAAAACAAAACAAAAAACATCATAAACCATAAAACAGAACATGTAATGTGAAAGGAAACACTCCCAGCGCTTCAAGCTTTAGACAATTATTAGTTAGTACAAGTGTCTTTGTCTTATTCCAATGGGAGAAAATAATAACCTTTTCTATTAGACAGGATTTGTAAAGAACTAGATGGTACAAGGTATAGCAGAAACACATTAAGTATTACAGAACTGCAATGTGTACCAACAGACTAGTGTTACTTAGTTCATCCATGATTACACTTCACATACTGCTACAAAAATAACATCCAATTTGAAGCTTATAATTCATTTTTCTCTCCTGCTATTGACAGGACTGGAAACATTTGGAATAAAAATATATCAGTAATTTATGTAATCCTTTCAAAAATAAGCTTAAATGAATTAGAAAAAATCAATTATTTCTGTCTCTCTTCAACAAACAAACGAGTTTTGTGGTTTGGAATGCAGAATTTGGTTAAACCAATTTCTATATTGCTGGCCAGAAATATAAATAAAATATCACTTTCATTTCCATAATCTTGTTTAAAAGTTGGAGTTGAAATATACAGTGTCGCACAAGGCAATGGTATATAGCCACTTAATGCTGAAAGGAATTTTTCAGCCGAAAACTAACTTCAAACAAGCGATTTGTCTAATCCTGTAAAAAAATCTGACCGACTATTTGATGTCCGTCTCCAGATTAGGGTAAGTCCCACATAAGACTTCTAAATCTCTCTCCTTACTCCTACACTCTTGATATAGTACACTGGCTCCAAACCAGCACTTAATACTGATCCTCTTCCAAAGTTACACGATCTAATAAAATTTAATATCAGCTTTCTCAGCTCTTTGGCAGCAGTATGAAAGTGTGGCGTTAAATAGATCTCAATCAAATCATAAATGAAGCTAATTTATCTCGATGGCTCTTCATAATTACATACTTTCATTTCATGTTTATCTCTTAGAGACACCCCTTTCATTCATGATAACACCTTTTCATTTTGTGATAATATTTCAATTTGACAAATGATAACGGCCTCCAGTTCTGTGTTTCCTGCCACTTCCAGTAGTCCAATTTCTCACTGAACTGATATGAAGCTAGTTATAAATCATGTAAAATATGAAAAGTTGGACTTGAAAGAAATATTGAAATCAGAGTTAAAGAAAACATATATTTGGGTAAAATCTGACACTTCCCAAGGATAAACAACTGTGCTATCGGATCCCAATGTTGAATCATCATGATGGTGATGTCTGTTGAGTCTTGATCTAGACAATTTAAACACACAAGTATTTTAATTGACTTTCATGCAGAGAGAAATCTCCCTTTAATTTTTGACAGGTAACAAAAATTATCTCCCTTCTGAACCCTAATCTATTAAATGTAACAGCAAAAAATTTTTTTCATTCACTGAGATATTTGAAGCATTGGTCAGTCTCTATATTTATAAGGAATATTAACACTTAACCACCATCTGATCTATTGAAATGGAATACAGAACAATGTACCATGCAAGTTGTAGGGAGTTTCCAAGATACTTTAATTATCATTAATGGTTCCCTTCAAATAAACACTAACAAAGATCAGAACACCTCTTGAAGTATAAAGTTGAATAAGAAGCTAAGTGATGGATAAACAAGTCAACTTTACCACCCACCAATGTAGTGTAGTTCCGATAAACAGTTATTACACAGCATAGGATCATACCGAAAACTCTATACAACTGGACAAGAACCATCTCTACCTTTGTTTAGACAGAATAGCACAGGATGATCTACAGATGTTGAATGGCAAAATTCTTCGGTATCTGGCAGTGGTCAAATGACCATCAAAATAACCACTACTCAGGACAGACTGACCACAAAGACCACAATTACTGCCACATGGCATTCATCCTTTATCAGATCTTTGATAGTGTGTGCATAGAAGTTTAGAACTGCTGAAAATTTCCTCAATATAAACATCTTTGGACTTAACAAAAGATTTATATATTTTTAAAAATCTATGTTTTTGTGCCCCGCAATATAAGCCTGAATTATCAACAGCAAGTGTGAAAGCTGGATTTAAGGGATTTAAACCTGCACAAAAACAAACATGTCTTGTTGCTTTATAAAACTTCAATGTCAACAAGACACAATCAATATTTACAGATCATGGTGAATTAATTAATTTTTTATGAAACAACAAACTGCAATCTCCACTGCAATCTCAGACATCACTTACATTGGCACGAGTCTCATGGACGCCATCAGTGGCAGCAACTGTAAGATTGTAGATTTCTTTGGTCTCCCGATCAAGGCGGCGTGCTAGATGCACACTTCCATCAACAGGACTAATAAGAAAGTCACTGTTGTCATCACCACCTGCAATATAAACCGTTATAAAAATACCAGGAAGACAAATGAATGTAAAGACAGGAGTTTTATGCTTCGATTTGCACAGCATTACCATAAACCTGAAGCCAAAAGATATATTTCTTATGAAACACATAAAACATGCTATGGCTTGCTTCTTTTCTTGATTTTTTATGTAAATGTTATACTGAATTTTGTGATTTCAATCCATCCTTGAATCTCGTGAAAATACAACCTTTCAAAATTGTTAAGACTGACACACCAAGGAAGCCAACATAAAGCATACCTATTATGGAGAACCAAACTTTGTCCTTATCAGGGTCTCTGGCTCTGACCAATCCCAGCATCTGACCCAGCTTACAGTTCTCAGACACGGGTTCAAACATGTACACTGATTGGTCAAATACAGGAGCATTAGGTGAGCTAGTTGGACGAGGTCCCACCAAAATCTGGGCTCGAACCTTGCTCCTCTTCTTCACATCCCCATTGTCTGTAGCACGGATCTGTTTTAGCATGACAAAAAAAAAGTTAAATACAGCCTATCATTTTCATTATGTAATGACACTTTTGCTCTGATTTAAAAGATAAATTTTCAGATTATGATATTATCAGTTACATGGTGTTACTTGTGTAACAATTTTCCACCATTACATTGAACTATAAAGCAACTAGCCATGGCATCAAATATGCACAATGTTGGCTAAATGTTGATGCAATTAAGCTCAATTAAATGATATCCCAATAGAATTTCAGCTTGAACCTTGGGTCCTGTCATAAACAGTTTTTGTGAGTAGTTATTTTGGGATTTCAATATAAAAAAATGTTTTTCCTGGTTTTCTCAATGATCTATATAATGCCAAAACTAATTCTTTCAGTGATATTATGATTGACAGATGTGAAATGTTTGTAGATAAAAGTACCAACCTTAAGCTCATACATCTTTGGCTCTAGGGCTTCTACCGCATAGATCATACCAGTTGTGGCATTGATAGTAAACTCTGTCTGTTCCCTCCCTCGGATCTTATAGGTAATCTCGGCATTTTTACCACTATCTTTGTCCTCCCCGAAAACGCGAAGCACTGGCATTGGTTTACTTCCAGGAGACTTAGCCATGATGTTAACTTTATAATTCCTTTGTAGAAACTTTGGCTTGTTGTCATTTTTGTCAAGGATTTGGACAACGACTCGTGTGACTGAAGAAAGGCTTGGCGTTCCATTATCACTAACAGTTACCTGAAATAACAGAAATCAACAGTCAAAAAATTGAATTGTAAAACTTATTTGGAAAAACATTCTACAACTGAAATATGAAACAAAACCGTATTTGGGTTTAAAGGTCAATGATGTGACTCGAAGAAAGGGGAAATCTCTGATAGATAAGACCTTACTAGAATGTTGCCACTGTTTCTGTAAAACCATAGATCTTCATGGGACTTAATTTTTGAGGTTCTTTTCATTTCTTAAACTTTTTCATGGATGCTATATTTTGTGGATAAATACACCTCAATAATTCTACTTTACTTATTTTAACTGTCCATTCACATACGATTTTGCAGTATCCATGAAATCAATGAAAATAAACCTCCCACAAAAATTGAGCATTTAACAGTAACTATTCAGACATATATTAGTATGGAATGATATCTATTACTTTAAGAAATAAAAATGTTGCAAAATAGATAAAATTTTAAATCATAATGATACTAATGGTGTTTGTTTGGAGAGGGGGTTGAGACTTGGAGAAGGGGTTTTGGCTGGGAGATATGTCTATCAGCAGACAGAAGTCAGCAGAATCGTGCATCATATTCACATTGGAATCTACCTCGCACAGTTAATTTTGTAGGATTTTTTCTGGCGAGCCCAGAGCACAACTCAGTCCAGTTACAAAGAGATATAGTGGGCAAGGGTTCAAAAAGTTTGAGTGAGTTCCAATGGAACAACATGAGCCCAAGAATTAATAAATATTTGAGTCCAAAAACATTGCCTCAATTCCATATCCAAGCAAAGCAGTTTTTTTAGAATCATTTTAACAGGAAACTCCTCTCATTTTTCCTGGTGTATTATACAAACATTGCTGTTTTGTTAACTAATTTATATATGACATCAGGATCTTAAATCTACATCAGAATGTGAAATCTTGACCATAATATACTCCACCTGGAGAGGGTGGAGCAGACTGTTAAGAGAAAATCTACCTGACAGTGTATTGAGTTCCAGACACCTGGCTTAATAAACAAACACCCACAAATATACAACCCACACACAATTCACGGATATATTGCTATCAGCAACTGAACAAAATCTGCTATCGGCAACTGAACAAAATCTCACAAGAACACGTAGTCAAGTTCTCAACATCAATGAAAGATAAAAAGATAGTATTGCAATATTGAAACAGTATCTGCTTGTCTGCTATTGATGTTCCTGACAAAAGGTACAAGGAATAGGTGATCTCACAATATCCCAATTCAATATGTCTTCCTCTACCATACAACTACTGTGAGTCATGAGCACACCCACAAAACGAAGACCCAAAAGGAGCTGGGAGTATATAAAGAGAGGGCATGTCCTGGGCGGGGAGATCATTCACCCTTGTATTATAAATCAATGCTGAATGAAACAAGAGTTTCCATCGATAGTACCTGAATACAAAATACACATTATAGAATTATAAACCAAAATTAGCATTAAAATTAGGCTTTTAATCAATCTCTCTTGAAATTTCAACTGTGGAATTTGGAAGTTAATTAGTAAAACTCATTAGATTTTATAATTAAAATTGCAATTCTTTGTTCAATTTCAATAAACAGTAAGAGAATTTTTTCTTTTCATTTGAATTTCTGTGCTAACTAGTTTTACCATAACACAGGATGGTTTCAACAGCAACAGTTGACATACATGCACAATAAAACTAGGATGGTCTGATCTTGGTTAAAAAAAAGATAATTGAACCACAAGCTGTCAAGGCTTAGCATCAGGATGTCCTAGTTCATTTGTCTACCTCAGAATGTGAGTTGAACAAAGTCTGTTTTTGGATATGTTTATATAATAATCCCCCAGGGGACCTTAAAGAAATTGGTTTGCATATAGGAGTGGTTTACAACAGAGTTCAAAGTTCACAGAGCATTTACTCCTCAACAGGAGACAAGCATAAATCCACAAGTTACAAGTACATTATCACGTTGATGGTTGAATATCTCATTTGAAATATGTGATGTGATTACTAGTATATAACAAGCATTCCTTACTACATTTTATAGTACAGTTTTGTTATTGTTGATCATCCACTTTGAAAAAAGATTTTTTTTTCATTAAGTAGAGTTAAGATAAATGATATTCTGATTAGTGATGAAAATGTCTTTGTGAATCAGATTCTACAACAATTAAAGCTACCATCCTCTTGGTCAATGAAAGGGCATGTTACGATTGACCCTTGACCTGAGTGACTTGTCAATACTTCATGTCAGGCTTTTGTGCACATCTGCCCTCTAAGCCCTTTGGGAATTTTTTTGCAATGAAAGTCAAATTGATTTCATTCTTCATCTCTGATAACCATGTATTTGCAGCTTTAAGTCACAGACAGAATTGCTGACCATTATTAGTTGTCCTAGAGGTATTGCTCAGTTAGATGACCACTTCGATGTATGCTGACCACTTTGACCAAACAGGATATACAGCAATAACCATGATAAGAAGCTTCCCTACTACACAGCTGCCCTCCTAGCAAGGTCACAGCCCCTAGAGACCTAACGTGGGACCCTTCGGTCATAAGATTATTGAAAACCATTCTCACACATAATTAAATAAAATAAGCCCTCAACCTGACTTCATCACTCCATATTATACCTCAAATGTAATAATATCTAGTGACTCTGCCTGCAGCATGACCAGACACAACGGCCAGTACTGATTTCCTTTGGGCCAAAACACACAGACAACCAATCCTTTACTTGCTTTTAAAGTGCACTCCCTTACAGTTCAGTGGAAAACAGGGAAATGCGACGGTATGAAGCAAGAACTCTGTTAAGCATGTAAATATCACTAAAAGGAATTACAGCTAAATCATAGCAAACAGGATTGGCAATGATCATTGAGCTGAGAAATTGTATGTATACTACCACTAAATATATCACTAATAAAATCTGTTTTGTGCTTTGGTCCTCAAATCAAAATGGCCGCCATCAGACACCCCTTCAGATGTTAGACACTGTGCAATAGTTAGACTGTCAGATCAAAGGTGATGATGATGGGGCCATTAAGTGTAGTCCTGATCAGCTCTGTCTGTACTTATATAACCATCCTTGTAACATACAAGTTTGTCTATATTTATATATAACCAATCAATGGCACTTTGAGTGTAACAGGACTACAGTTTGACCGAAAGCTAATTAACTGAATATACACAAAAATTCTGAGTAACCTTCATCAAATTATACTGTAATCTACAGGTAATGACGGGAGATGAGATGCAAACAAAATACTGTGATTACTCATAAACATACAAGTAATTGCTTCCCCCCCTCCCCCAACATTCAACTTCATAACTGATGGTTCTGTTTGAATTATGCCCCTTTGAGCCTAGAGTTACGTCCCTTTGTGCAGCATCAGACACACTGGTCCTGTTTAATGAAAATGCCCTGTAATGGCTTCTACTACAGAGAAAAAATAGGTAGTCAAGAACATCAGGCATTGGTGGTCATTTATCTCAAGCTAATTAACAACCCTGTCAGCCTTACTAATCAGAGAACGGAAGAAGTGACCAGAACAGCTTTGGTTTGACCATCCATTATTGACCAACTTCTATTTTCTGATCAATACAAACCTATCTTGACTAGCTAGTGTCCCTAATACAGACAAAAGACAATGGTCACTGGTATCGATATCAGCAGTTGTGGTCAATGAAGTGAAGACAAAGGCAGCGGTCAGCAGCATTAATAGCTGACCAGCGTACAATGTTTTTCTGCTGTCTGTGTGGATTATCAGAGTAATAATACCCTCTATGCTTCCTCGTTAGTGACCAAAGCTTATTTGGAACGACCACTAAAAAGTCCTCATCACTAAATGTCTAGATTATTCAGAACGAGTTAACATCTTTATAAAGTCAGATATTCGTGACTTGCCATACCCAAAATTTATTTCTAAGGATGTAAAACGTAACTGTTGAGTCTATAAAATCTCTCTATTCTTTTACCATCAGCAGCAATAAATCCACCATCTGTCGGTGGTCAGTGAGACAAGTCCCTAATAGAACTGTCACCATCCATGATTAGCTGGATTTCTGGTGATTACCACTGTTTTTTGTAGCTGCTAAATAACCTTCCTTAACTGTCTGTTGGTTACTGATTTGATTGCGTTACACTGCTGTCGGCCATTACTGACCCTATGATGCACCTTCTCAACAACCTTTGTGATATCTCTATCAGTGTTGGTGTCAGAAGTATTGATTATAACACCTATGTATATGTGTCATCATCACCAATCTATGTACAAGAAATTGAGAGATTTTTCTTTCATTTGAGACCGTGTTTCTCAGATAATCATAGTCTACCGAACTGCTATGTTTACACAGAATCCAAAACCACGGACATTTTCTTATATTTATGCTTTGACATTCAGAAAAATCTCTTTTATGTGAGAAGCACAAAACTATTTGTATTTTTTGCTTCTTCAAATTTTCAATATTGCAGTAAATATGATATGGTAGAGACAATTAATCCAGAAGAGAGACTAAAGTCAAACTGCAAATTCCTAAATCTACATAAAGGTTTTTAAGCCAACTAGTATAAGGTCTGCTTTCACCAGTTTTTATGGTATTAATCATTATATCTGAGATAGTTTTTGCATTACCAACCTTTTTGTTCACCCTGAAAATTTTCTTAATCTGTTGGTGACAGAAAGACCAGAAAATGCTCTAAATGATGACAGATTTTAATATTCCTTTAAAAAGATATGGGTCAAAAAGCAAAAAATGAGGAACATTAGGAATTTGTGAATGACAAAAGAGGAATACTTTTTGACCAGAATTCTTATGAGACCAACGAAAGAGGAACACTTCAGATACAGAATTCTGATGAGAACACCACAATAGGAACACTTATGGTACAGAATTCTGATGAGAACACCAAAGAAGAACAATTAAGGTACAGAATTCTGATGACAACAACAAAAGAGGAACACTTTTGGACCAGAGTTTTCATGCATCATACCATCTTATCTTGCAGAACAGCAGAACT